GAAACTGGAATCGTATCCGGAAAAGCGGTCCGCGCTCGGGCGAGGGCGCCGTTCTGAGCGATGGGAGCCAAAAGCCTACAGCGGGAACGCCAATTTTGAGACAGCGGGAACGCCAATTTTGAGACAGCGAGAAGCGAGAGAACCACAACAGATCACACAGACCGAGGCAGGGGAGAGAGGGGAGCAGTCTGCAATCGTAATGTGCGACTGTGGAGCAGGAGGAGGATGAGGAGGAGGAAGAGGAGATAGGACGGCGAAGAGGCTGATGATGGAAGGGTTGATGTAAGGCGCTCAAGGAATTCAGACAGGGAAACGGTGGCTTCTGGTGGGGTAGGAATGAGGAAGAGGAAGGGTGGGCACAATGGAGGAGGAGAGAAAGGAAAAGGACAATGAAGACGCCGCTCGCACTGGAAGAGAGAGCATGGGAGGGAGGGTAGGAGGGGGGCGGAGGATGACAGGGGATAGCAAGGACGTCGAGCGTGGTGAAAGAGGGCGCGGGGGAGGATGAGCAGGAGAGAGATGGAAGGGGGACTCTGCTGGACCCTGCCGCGACCCCACGCTGTGGGCAACCCTCCTCGGTCACACCATTCGCCGCTCGCACTGAGGCGCGACGACGACGACGACGACGACGACGACGACGACGACGACGACTACTACGATGACTACTACCGCGACGACGACGACGACGCGCCTCCATCGGGGCGGCCGCGCCGCGCGGCGCCAGGGCAGCGCACGCGCGGGGTCGCGCGCCGCGCGGCGGCGGCAGCCACGGAGCTCCGGCGCGGCCGCCCAGGCAGGCGCCGCGCGCGGCGCCGCGCGCGGCAGGCCGCCTCGGAGCGGCTCCGACGGCGGCCACGGCGAGGGCACGGGCACGGGCGACGACGACGGCGAGGGAGAGGACGAGGACGACGACGACGACGACGACGACGACGACAACGACGACGGCGGTGGCGGCGGCGGCGGCGGCGGCGGTGGCGGATGCTACTCCGGCGAGTCCGGCGACGACGGCGGTCGCAGCCCCGAGGGTGACGGCGACGACGGCTGCGGCAGCGACGGCGGCGGCGCGATGACGACGGGGAGAGGCAATCGCGGCGACGATGCTTCTCAGCTCAGTGGCCCCGACACGGGCTCATCACGGAGGAATCGCTGAAACTGGTTGGACATTCAAGGGGTCGTGGCCACCATCCTCCGCCAGGGAGCGTATCACTCAAACTCGCTGGCTCATCACAAAGCCAAGCAGTCAGCACGAGGTCAAGGGACTCCTGGAGGCGAGGCTGGGGAGGTCGGACACAGGCCCTGCGCGCGTGCATGCCAGGTGCGCGACGAGCGCCAAGACCTGTGACTAGCCACCGCCTTGGCAAACCCTAGGTCAGGCATGTCCTCCTACAGGCGGACGTTGGGAGAAAAATGCGCAATCGCAAAAACAGATCAGACATAAAAATAGGAGCAGAGACAAGAAGAATCATCATCATCATAACCACACGAATCACAATAATGCAAGCGAAATGGTGAAACAGCACAGTAATAGCATAATTTGATGATAGATCGCCGCCAGAACATTACCACACTGTGTTGGAGCACTCCTCCTGCAGATGGGGCACGCCCGACTCGAGGCACAACGCCCAGGGGCGCAGGCAGCGCCTGGGCCCGACGCGGCAGGAGCGCGCACCGCCGACCCCCGGGCGCTAGGGGCGCTCACCCCTCGCCGGGAGGGGCGGCGCCCGGAAGTGCCCGGGCAGGAGCTCGAGCACTTAACAGGGGATGCGTCGACCCCTATCCCAGGCTCCGTGAGGTTTTCGAGAGGATCAACAATTTGGGGCCCAACCCTGGGATATACGAGGGGGGGGGCGTCCATCCTCGACAGGGGTGCGTCCGAATAGCTCCCTCGGGATGTATCCAAAGATTCCTCCCCTTTTCTGAGCACTGGTCCCGGACCTGCTGTTGGCTGTTTTGTTGTTCGGTATCCAGCTCTGTGCAATTGGCTTGTGGCTTGTATTCTATTCTGGTGCTTCAATACAAAGCTCCTGTCGAGGAGAGAAACAAGGTAGCCAGAATAATGAATACATACATGTACTACCCTACAATCATATTGTGCATAGATGTCGGGTGCCTACCACACTACCCAACAATGATGCTGACCAACTACCGATTGCCTTCTTTATCAACAGGATAAAAGAAGTGCACCTCAAGATGCAGAAAATCCAGGGAAAGGTCGAAAAAAAAGCAGGGCGGCAAGTTTTGTAACTGTTTTCGACACCCTGGGGGCCCTCGCCGGGCCCCAAGACCGTCAAACAACGACTCAGGATGAGGAACCGGTCCCGGGGAAAGGGTCGGGACTTCCAGGGACGCCGTCCTGAAAAGATCAGGACGTTGCATGTGCATGTCTGGGGTGAGCTTAGCTGCCCCGGTGCGCAGCACGCAGCACGCAGCGTATCGATACGGAGCTCCACACGCAGACTGAACACGTGCGTTTTTGAGCACGAGCGTCTTGAGCGCGGCACGTGTTGCGTGTCAACACGTGCGGATCAGAGCAGCCAAGCTGCGGAGCGTTTTCTCCTTCGGCGCTTTGGGATTGGGCGAAGGAGGGGGGGAAGGGGGAAGAGAAGGGGAGGGGGAAAGGGGGGGGGGAAGGGGGGGGAGAAGGGGCGGGGGGGGGGGACGGGGGGGAAAGGGGGGGGGAGAAGGGGGGGGGGAAAGGAGCGACGGCGATGCGGCCGAAGACAGCCGTCCCCGGGCGCACGCTGGGATTTGGTCGGGCATGTCCTCCTACAGGCGGGTTGTGGAGGTGCCCAGCAGGAGCTCGACCACGTGAGCGTTTTCTTCTTCGGCGCTTTGACATCAAAATGGCCACGACGACGGCACAAGCAAGAAGGATCAGGATGGCCGCGACGACGGCCACCCTTGCCTCAGCGTCGGTACACCGTTTTTTTCTTCTGCGTCGTTCACTGACCGCACTGGCGGCGACGGCGACGCGAGCCACGAGGGCCAGCATGGCCACGACGACCGGCACGGCCTCAGCGTCGAAACGCGACAGAACAGCAAAATGTTCGGCACCGCTCACCGAAAGCCCTGGCGACGGCGACGCGAGCGACGACGACCATCCTCGGGCGCACACTGGGATTAGGTCGGGCATGTCCTCCTTCAGGCGGGCTTTGAAGGAACAAAAGTATAGCCAAAACATCTCGAAACGAGTCGGAGATAGGAGGACAATCGTCCCCTGACGATTTCTTGAATATTCTTTGAAATTTCCTCGTGTGGAGGGTCATGCCCGACTGATCGCCAGGGCTGCGGATCCGCGGAGCTGGCGCGGGGGCTCCAGATCCACGGTCTGGGGGGGGGCAGCCCCCCGAAGCCGGGGAGGCCATGGCCGCCCCCGTGGTGTCAACGGAGCGCCCTGACAATTTTTGGCCCTATGTTTGAATTCTCCTCCTGCAGAGGGACATGTCCGACTGAACGCCAGTACTGCGGATCCGTGGGGCTGGTGCGAGGGCTCCAGATCCACGGCCTGGGGGGGAGAAGGAGGATGAGGAGGAGGAGGAGGAGGAGGAGGAGGAGGAGGAGGAGGAAGAAGGGAGGAGGTGGAGGAGGGGGAGGAGGAGGAGGAGGGAGGAGGAGAAGAAGGAAGAGGAGGAGGAGGAGAGGAGGAGGAGGAGGAGAAGAGGAGGAGGAGGAGGAGGAGGGGAGGAGGAGAAGGAGGAGGGAGGATGAAGGAGGAGGAGGAGGAGGAGGAGGAGGAGAAAAAGGAGGAGGAGGAGGAGGAGGGCTGAGGAGAAGGAAAAAGGTGGAGGGGAGGAGGAGGAGGAGGAGGAGGAGGAGGAGGAGGAGGAGGTGGAGGAGGAGGAGGAGGAGGAGGGGGAGGAGGAGGGGAAGGAGGAGGAGGAGGAGGAGGAGGAGACGAGGAGGAGGAGGAGGAGGAGGAGGAGGAGAGGAGGAGGAGGGAGGAGGAGGAGGAGGAGAGAGGAGGAGGATGGAGGAAGAGGAGAAGGGAGGGAGGAGGAGGAGGAAGAGAAGAAGGAAGAGGAGGAGGAGGCGGGAGGAAGAGGAGGAGGAGGAGGAGGAGGAGGAGGAGGAGGAAGAGGAGGAGGAGGAGGAGGAGGGAAGGAAGAGGAGGATGAGGGAGGAGGGGAGGAGGAGGAGGAAAAGGAGGAGGAGGAGGGAGAAGAGGAGGAGGGAGGAGGAGGTGGAGGAGGAGGAGGAGGAGGAGGAGGAGGAGGAGGAGGAGGAGGGGGAGGAGGAGGAGGAGGAGGAGGAGGAGGAGGAGGAGGAGGAGGAGGAGGAGAGGGAGGAGGAGGGGGGGGCGGCCCCCCGAAAAACCGGAGAGGCCATGGCCGCCCCCGTCGTTGCCAACCGAGCGCGCCGACTTTCCCCACGGACACGGGGCCCGTCGCTCGGGAACGTCTTTTCCTTCTTCGGCGCTGCGACGCTGGGAGAAGGAGGGGAGGGAAAAGGGGAACGGGGAGGGCGGAGAGGAGAAGGGGGAGAAGGGGGGGAGAAAATGAAAAGAAGGGAAAAGAGGGGGGGGGAGAAGGGGGGGCGGTCTGGCTCCGGACCTCTGCTTCATGCGTCTGTCTGCAGCAGTGCGCCCAGCGGGGGAGGCTACACCTGCCCGAAGCAGGCGCCCAAAGCAGCCAAGATCTAGTCCAAGGGGGAGGGGGCAGAGGGGGGGGGGGCGAGGGCCCGCGCCGATCGGCAAAACAATGAATAAGAAAACGATCACCTAACCCACGCGCCTCAATCCATGGTTGCGCCTCATTGAATCACGACGGCGACCCCCGTGGCCACAACAACGATGCTAACCACGACGAATACGACGACGACGACGACGACGACGACGACGACGACGACGACCCCTCTCGGTGGTTCAAGGAAGGTGTACTGAGGGATGGGGTCCTGAGAACGAGGAGCCCCAAAAAACGTACATCTACCCCTGGGCCCCCCCTATCCTTAAGACCCCTTGCCTCGGGACCCCGTCTTCGAACTACCGACCCCCCTCATTGGGCCTCAGCAGCATCGCTGCGGCCCCGCCACGGAGTCAAGGCGGGCGCGCGGATCTTGAGCCGCGGGAGCAGCTGCGGGCCCGGACGAGTTCCCTCCGAGCCCTGGGCCTCGTGATGATGATGATGATGATGATGATGATGATGATGATGATGATTTTTTAACAGAGTCGGGGCTCAAGGGGAGGTCGAGCCCTCTGCCTGCGGAGACCGCGTATGATGCCGCCGTGCGCCACGCGCACGTGCTGGAGCAGCTCAATCTGCCCCGCGCAGCGCGCGATCGGCGGGGCGCACCACCGCCGGCCAAAGATCTTAACATAAGTCGTCCACAACCGCTGCGTGAGGACAGGCAAGAAGATTACGTACACAAGATGAGAGATGTGTGCACGAGGCGGGTCAGCCCAAAAAACTCACTCACTGCACATGTCACGTGCCTCACTCGTCAGCTCTACTGTTTCACCAACCATCCAGTCCATTCCTGTAGCTCCTCCATGTATCCAGGCACGCCCCGTAGATGCCGTGCTTCGAGCTGGCGCGTGACGGTCACGGGGTAGCACTTCTCGCCCACGATGAGCTTGGCCTGGTCCTCCTTCGCCGTCGTGGTGATCCTGCATGCCCTGATGAGCTGCGCCGCCTCCTCGACCTTCTCGCAGCTGTTGAAGTCCTCCACCGTCTTCTTGAGATGCGCCACGTTGGCGCTTCCGACCTCGTGTATCTCTGCCAGGCCGACCAGGAGCACGCCGAACATCAGAGTATGGAGAGGCCCCAGTAGTGGCATGTCTGGGCTCTTCTTCCGCACCTGCTTGAGTAGCGGGGGGAGCGGCTCGCAGAATCCCTTGTCCTGAACCTGAATGCCCATGTGCTTTTTCTTCTCGCCCTGGTTGAGGCTCTTGCCCCCTCGCTTCGTCCTTGGCGGGGCAGCTGCTGGACCTGTGGGCCCGCGCTTGCCGTCGTTGCCAATACTCCCAGACGCTGGCGAGGATGCACCCGTCGCTTCGGTGAGGTGGCCCCTCGATTCGGCCCGATGGTTGGTGGGCTTTTGTTCCACTACCTCCACCATAAGTAGGAGGGGGAGGGCGTCCTCCTGCTCATTCTGTTCCTCCTTCTCCCCCCCTCTTACTTATGGTGGCGGTGGTGAAAACAGGCCCATCAATGATACCAGCACATCCACATCGTTGCCCTCCTCTTTCTCACACTTATCCTCCTCGTGACTGCTGCACCCCACCCCTCTTGGGAGCGCAAGATCGCCCTGGGTAGCAAAGACGCCGACCGTCTGGTAGAGCACGATTCAGCCTTGCACCCTACAGTGCCTCGTCTGAGCTCGAAGAGCTCGATTAGGCCGTTGGCACTGTGCGTAAGTTGGTGTCAATGTTCGCCGCTGTCCTCTCTGGTTTCACGAAGCCGAGTTGCTCTCGGGACCCCGCGGGACCGCGTGCGAAGACCCCGCGTGCTGCCAGGGCACGACTGGATTATCCTGGACTGGGACGATCCCTCGGCTGAAACGGTTCCCAAGCGCACTCGACGTTTCAAGGCTGCTTACGGAAAAAAACGACCCGTGCTCGGATGCAAGGGCCTTTCTACCGCCCTCAAGCATGTGCACGGTGCGGAGAGCGAGCGTGGCCACCTCCTGTGTGCGACGGGGCTCCAAGAGGCTGACTGCATGCCCCTCGCGTTTTGCTCCAAGCGCGGAGCCCATATGAGCCGGCGGTGTGTCAAGCATGCCAAATCGCGCACTGGCCACCCAGGACCGAATGGCAACTCTGCGCTCCACCGGATTCGCCAAGGACGCCACCCTCACTACGGCAGTGAAGCGACCGTCGCCTCTGGCACCACCCGTCGTGCCACTGCTGGGCCAGTGCTCCGCGAGGCAGCGCTGCCGCCAGCACCCTCGGCCTCCTCCTCTGCGCGCCTGATCCCCACGGCAGGTTAGTTGGCGCCCGCGGCCCGAGTGCGAGCTCGGGAGGAGGCATCGGCTGCAGCTCGCCAGGATTGAGTGATTGCGTTGCATTCTGGCCCGGGGGTCCCCAGGAACAAAAAAATCCCCCATCCGCCTCCAGGCTAGTTCTCTTGAAAGCGCGCCCCCTCGCACCCCTGTAGCCTCGACGCGCTGCCGCGTGCGTGGCATGCCCGGCCCAGTGCGGCCCTCCTCCTCTCGGGCGCTCGCTATAGAGTTGGCGGCGCGCACAAAAGGGGAAAGGGTGAGGGGGAGGGCTTCGTGAGAAGGAGACTGCTTCGTAGTAGGTGCGGGTCTCACATCTACAGATAAGGCCCGCGCGTTCTAAGAAGAAGGGGTGCTTCTAAGAAGGCATCCACTTCCTCCTCTTGCCGCTCCTCCTGCTCCTCCTCCTCCTCCTGCTCCTCCTGCTCCTCCTGCTCCTCCTGCTCCTTCTCCTCCTCCTCTTGTTGCTCCTCCTCCTCCTCCTCCCTTCCTCCTGCTGCTCCTCCTCCTCCTCATCCTCCTGCTCCTCCTCCTCCCCCTCCCCCTCCTCCTGCTCCTCCTCCTCCTCCTCCTCCTCCTCCTCCCACTTTGCGCGTGGCTGACATCAACGGGAGGGGCATCCACAGTGGCGAAGCAGTGCGCAACTTCTCTCCAGCCAGCACCTCTGCTGGGCCGGCGGCGGCAGCTCAGGGTCCCCCTTGGAGCTCCCTCGTGGCCACGCTCCTGCCATCTTCGACCCCCGCCTCTACCCTTAGGTCGGGCGTGTCCCCCTACAGGCGGATTCTGGACGAAAGATGAGAAGTAGTCAACACATGCTCAAACATTGACCAAAATAGCCAGACAAGCGTTCCCATTCTATTTTCTTACCATCTTTGACCATTCCTCTTGTAGCGAGACAGGCACGACTTAAGGGTTGCACCCCTGCCCCGCCTGCCCCCTGCCCCCGCCCCCTGCCCCCCGCCCCGCCCCACGATGACGGGGGGCGGAGGGGGGATTTCCTATTTTGGGGTTCGCAAGACGCTTCCCTCGCTACCGCCACGTCTCCTCCCATCCACCCACAGCATGCACTGATCAAGAAGAGGCACGATCTGTGCCAGAGCTGGCCGCACACCCACCTCCTACGAGGTCGTCGTTGCATATTCCCCCTCCCTCCTTGCGCCTTCCTTCGGCCCTCCTGGACCTCGGGCCGGGCGAAAGGGGGGATAGCAAAGGGGGGGGTTGAGAATCAGCTTGCCTGGCTGATTTTCCCGGCGCCTCCCGGCGCCAGAAGCGGCCATGCATTGAGGAATGGGCCCCTCGGCGAGGCCGAAACCAGCTGCGCGCAGGAGATTTCGTAACCCCACATTTCCCTATCCCCCCTTTCGTTCGGCCCGAGCCTCCACTCCTGACCCACACCGTTTCCTTATCCTCCACTTCGCACCCCCCACCCCCCACCGCCCCCCGTCCTCTTCCACGACCACATACCCTCCCCACCCTAATTACCTCGCCATACCCTTGCCGGTCATCCTCATGATGTCCCCTCCCCCTCCCTTTCCCGTTCACTCCCAGGCCCATGATCATCCCCGCGCTGTCTCCAGAGCTCTCTGAAGGCCACCGCGGCCCACGATGGGCCCTTGGATGCCTGATTCTGTTTTTTTGGACAGGAAGCGGACACTGACTACATAATCCGCTGCCCCTTGCCGGGGGCAATCATAGCACCCAGCGACGAGCCTCTGCAACTACCGCGCACCGCAGCGGCAATGACAAATGTTGCCCGACCGCTCTAACGTCACCACATACGGGAAAGGGGAGGGGGAGGGACGAGACGGAAAATCAGAACTACGAGCGTGCAGAACTGCCACTACGGAAGGTCCAACACCCGCTGGCAACGCAGCAACTCCTCCGAGCCGCACGACATTACTCGTGCATCCGACATTCGCGGCAGGACCCCCTAGTACTCCAAAGGCCCAGGCACAATGCAGAGCGCCTCATCTGTCGGGGCGGGCCAGCCAGAAGAACACGCTGAACTCACAGCACGCGCAAGGGAGAGCGGGAAGGAGGAGGAAGAGGAAGGAGGAACGGAGGAAGAGAAAGGCGACAAGGGCTGCGAACATTTGCCGAACATGCAATCCCCCACTCGCAACCGAGACATGCTAAGAGGCGGCGAGCCTACCGAGAACCTCCGCCAGCGATTGGCCGCCCAACCCGGGGGTTGACACTAGCATCGAGCCCCAGGAGGACCTCGAAGATGCCAGACCAACAAACAAACATGAAACGCTAAGAATACCAAGGCACAAAATGAAAACTGATGGAAACCGCCACTGCAAACAGTCGGCCGCAGGAACGCGACAGCATCAAGGGATGCGCGGCATGACCGAAGGCGGCCCAAACAGGGCAACGCTGAAAACACTCACACCACTAACCCAGGGCAGAGTGTTTCCGGGAAGGTCCGCGGACAACGGCAGCGCCCTGGCACAGCGCGGCTTCGGCCCGGTCCCGTGCGCTCGCCACTGCAGGGCAGGACTCGTTCCACCTCCTGCAGTACACCGGCACCCTGTCGGTCGTTACAGGCGGCATGATCCTGGCATGTCCTGGCTGCCGCGCCTTAGTCACTGCGGCTCCCGTACCCTGGACCCGTGGCACCCTGGACGACCACGGCCTGGGCCACTCGCTTCTGCTACATGTTCGATGGCACAACGTTGCACTTCGGCTCAGCGATGCTCTCCAACCTCTCCGGTCTCTGACGCCGCTTGGGTACAAGGCGCGTCAGCTCTCGCTGCCAACTCGAGGCTGGTGTACATGATGCGCCGTGGACGGCAACACCAACCACAGCATGTTGCTTCTGCCGGTGCTTCGCCACCGGGTTCCTGTACCAGGCGTTCCTTTGCAACCACGTCGTTTTGGGCACCGCCTGATCCCGAGGCTTTGCCTCCTCCCGGCCTCGCCGTGAGGCTGCGCTCATTCCCTTCCCCCCATTTTGTTAATTCAAACTTCGCGCGGCCCGCTTAGCTTCGACCGGACGAGGTGCGCTCGACCCGCGGATCAAAAAAGTGTTTCCGGAGAGGCTCGCGCAAACAATCGCGCCGCAGCAAAGCCAACTCCCCCGAACAGGAACATCAAAGCCCACAACCCCTCAGTAGCGCAGAGCCAGCCATCGCCCATCACCAAGCAGCGGGCCAGCCCCTCCTGCTGCTTGGACTTTTCCTTCGGCGGGCACACGGCGGGGAACGAGGAACGCAACGACGCCAACGCTGCAGCATGCGCAGCACCGTGCCGCACCAGCAAGCGGTCTCGCCTGGTCGCGCACCGCTCCTGGAGTCAAGGTGCCGCGGCCTTCAAGCGCTCTGCGATGCGCTCGTGTGCGACGGCCTCCGCGTCCCAGCAGCGAATCTGGGCGAGAAACTGCGTGCATTCAAGGCTGAACTTTCCCTGGCTATCGCTGGGGGTTTCGATGTCGACGGCATCTACCACTTTCGCCTTGCTGTCGCCTTTCACTGCCGGCGCGATGCCTGTCTCCATAGCTGACGCCGGCTTCGGTTCGACACCCTTTCTCGCGCGCCGGCTCGAGGACTGTCTGCGCCTCTGGCTCGATGAGCGCAACGATGTCTTGCAAGATGTTGGACATTGGTACTAGCTCGATGACAAGCTCGTTCTCGGGCTCGCCGTGCAACAGGCGTTAGCAGAAACCTGGGACTTGAGCGGAACAGGCCCCTGATCCCTAATCCCTTCCCGGCAATGGAGGCGGGCGTCGGCGCCGACGACGTCGACGACGAGAGAGGTGCCAACGCCGGAGACCACAACGCCGAAGACGATGCGAACAACGGCACCAACGATGACGACGTTCAAGAACACGCGGGAAACTGCGACGAACACGCCGACACCAACGAAAACGACGACGAACACGATGACAACGAAGACGACGAACAAGGCGACGACGGCGAAGACGACGACGACGACGGCGGCGACGACGACCACAACGACTTTGTCAATGATGATGTTGGCGACGGCGACGACGACGGCGTCGACGACGACGACGACGTTGACGATGATGTTGGCGACGACGGCGACAGCAGCGACGACGACGGCGACGTTGACGGTGATGTTTGCGACGTCGACGACGACGTCGACGACGACGACGTTGACGATGACGTTGGCGACGGCGATGACGACGACAGCGGCGGCGACGACGACGACGTTGACGATGATGTTGGCGACGGCGACGGCGACGGCGACGGTGACGACGACGACGTTGACGATGTTGTTGGCGACGACGACGCAAACCACGGCTTTGGCGCGCGGGCGGCGGCTGGGCGTTCCTTCGGGCTGCATCCGGGGGGAGCCGGGGTTTCCTCCTCGACCTGGGCGAGCGACGGGTTGCCCTCCCCGCCCCGCGGGGCAGCAGCGTGGCTGGAGCAGAGAGGGAGGGTCCACAGCACCACCACCGTCTCAAAGAGCCGCGGGTGGGGTCTTCGTGGCAAGAGAAGAGGTTTCTCCTTTTGGGAGCTCGTTCATATCTATGTATATATATATATAGATATACAAAGGTATATCTATATATATATATATATATATATATGTATATATGTATATATGTATGCATCGCCTTGGATTGGTAGACTCTGGTGGTCTCCAGCGGCTTGTACTGTTATTCGCGGCCTTCAGTGGACTTCGGTCGCCCTTTCAGAACCTTCAGCTACCTTCAGCTGCCCTTTGCAGCCACTGCTGTCCTGCAGCGGCCTTTCGTAGCCTCCACAACAGCGCAAGCCAATCCATTATGCACGTTTAAATGAGAAAGGTATATGCGCATGTTTGGCGTCGCGGCCGAGCGAGCAGCGGCGCGGCGTAGGTCAAGTCAGGCGAGCGCGCGGCCCAGCTCACGCGGCGTGGACAAGCTAGATCCACCGATAGGGGATCGACAGCAACCCTCTCGGGGGGCAACCGCTAAGGAACTTGGATGACCCAAATGGGGGTCCAGCTGAAACGGGGTGGCGCAACAGATTTGGGGCAATTGTGTTGCAAATGCACTGAGCCGGAGAATAGTATCGCATTGTACTGCAACTGACGTATTGCACGCGGAGCCCAGCGACACCTTTGCGCCCCCGAACGTACTGCACGCCCCAAGTCTACTGCAGCCCCACGAATCGCTTGCACCAGATCTATTGCACCATACCCCCTTGGCGCCGGACCCCCTTTTCGTGGGAAAGGACGGAGGAAGAGGGGGGCAAAAGGGGGAAAAGGAATGTGGACATCGAACTATCCGCATCCATCTTGGCCTAGCCCGTGCTCGCCCCGGGATCGGTTCGTACATGCCCCCCTGGCTGCGCCACGGAGGCATGATTCTACACGTCTCGGCCCAGGATCCGATCCGCCTGGCCAAGATCGGTGCGTGTGTGGGGGTACTTCACTTGCGCGCTCAGCTCGGAATCCTTCCGCGTCTCAGTGCCCCCTCCGCCTCCTTCTGTCCTTCGCGGCCGCCTCCTCCCCCCTCTGTCCTCCTCTTGCACGCCGGCCACTGCGCGCGTATGGGTCGCTCCGGATCGCCGGTCGCTGGTGCAGCACTTCTGCCTCGCCGCCGACGCAAAAAGGGGATACTTCTCGGCGCGCTTCTGCATCCGGAGGCTTCCGGCGAGGAGGAAGAGGAGAAGCAGAGAGTGAGAGAGAGAGAGAGAGAGAGAAAAAAAAAAAAGAGAAAAAAAAGAGAGACACACATAGAATTAGGGCGGGCGTGGCCTCCTACAGCCAGATTTTGGAAGAAAACTTAGAGAGACTCGTTCATAGTCAAAGATAATCCAAACATCGTCACCTGATGTTGTTCACTATCGAGGTCAAAGGCTGCATGAGCAGGTGATGGGCATGATTTTCCACCATCACCACCATAAGTTGGAGGGGGAGCGGGTCCTCCTCCTCCTCCGCCTCCTCCTCCTCCTCTTCGTCCTCCACCTCCTCGTCCTCCTCCTTCCCCCCTCCAACTCATGGTGGTGGTGGTGGAAAGGAGACCGGTCAGCAGGAGCTGCCAAAGGTGCAGGCAGGCCTCTGGGAGCGGCGCCGCCCCCCCGCTCAGTCGACCCCGCGGGCGGAGCCCGCCGGGGACGGCGCAGGAGGCTATCCTGGGAGGGCCCGGCGCAGATCCCCTCCTCCTCCTCCTCCTCCTCCTCCTCCTCCTCCTCCTCCAACTCCAACTCCTCCTCCTCCTCCTCTTCCTCTTCCTCTTCTTCCTCCTCCTCCTCCTCTTCCTCTTCTTCCTCCTCCTCCTCCTCCTCCTCCTCCTCCTCAAGGGATCGCGAAACGGTGAGCAGAGCTGCGCCCTGGTGGGCCAAAGCGCCTCGCCGCAGTCGTCGTCGTCGTGGTTGTCGTCGTCGTCGTCGCCGTCTTCGTCGGCGTCGTCGTCGTTCTCGTCGTCGTCGTCGTCGTAATCGTCGTCGTCATCGTCGTCGTCGTCGTCGGAGGCGTCGTCGTCGTCGCCTTCGTTGGCGTCGTCGTCGTCGTCGGCGTCGTCGTCGTGATCGACAAGGGCACCCGCCAGGGCGTCCACACTGCCACGCCCGACCGCGGGGCGCGGATGGTCGAGAGCTTGCTGCTCTCGGACGCCCGCAGCGGCGCTGCATGAACGAGCAGTGCACGCACACTGGGCGCGGATCGCAAGGACCTGCAGCTCTCGGGCACCCATGAGGGCGATGAGTCGCAGGACGGTGGCGTGGGGAGATCCCCGCGGACCCTCGCAACGCTTCGCTCGTGCTGCTGCTGCTTCTTCGGGCAGAGATGGGGCAGAAGGAGAGAGGGAGGGACAGGGAGGAGTAGAAGAAGAAAAACAGCAAAAAAAGACGTGCGAAAACATAAACTTGTGGCGCTCAGAACAGATTTCTTGGATCCGCGCTGGACCCCCCTCCCGGGCTGGCGCGCGAAGCGCGCCAGAGGCGGCTCGGGAGGCGCCGACAGGGGGGGCCCAGGCGCGGATCCAAGAATTCCGCGCGGAGCGCCAACAGTTTATGTTCATGGTGTTTTCTCTTTTTCAGCAGAAGGAGAGAGGGAGGGACATGTCCCGTTACAGGCGGAATTTGGACGAAACATACAAAATACTCAACAAATGCCCCCCAAATAGTCAAAAATACTGGAGCAATTGCCCCCTGACTATTATTCAAACTACTTGGAATCTTCCTCCCGCAGAGGGACAGGCCCGACGTAACGAACAGGGAGGAGGGAAGGTCATCCAATTTGACGGCAACGACGGCGCGGCGGTTCGCAACACACGACGCGGGACAGACGGACCCACCGGGCAGCAGGCCAGGAACACGCCACACGAGACCCGTCACCGGCAGCGAGCGCGCGTCGAAGGAGGCTGGGGAGGAGAATGGTTAGGTCGGGCATGTCCACCTGCAGGCGTATTTTGGACAAGAACATTCCAAACTACTCAGAAAATAATCCAAATTATGTTACACAAGAAACATAATTAAAAACATCCCCAGATTATGTGTGACTATTTGGGAAAATCCTGCTGTAGAGGGACATGCTTGACTTAAGAGAAGGGGGGACGGCGGAGAGAAAGGGACAAGGCATGAGACAGGAGGCAGCAGGCGGGAAGACGAGAGATCAGCATAGATGGAGGGAGGAGGGACCATGGACGACGACGGCCAAAGAGGAGGATGCTGAGGAGGAGGAGGTTGAGGAGGGGAGGAGGAGGAGGTATGACATCGAGGTAGGAGAAGGGATGATGAGGGAAGGGAGGCGGCGTAGGACGAGGAGGAGCGACGGATCCTGAAAACGAGGGAAGACGGGTGATGGAAGGGGGACACGTGCGGGTGGAGGCGTAAAACGGAGTGAGGGAGAGGGGGAGAGGAGGGCAGATGGGGATCAACGAGGGGGGCCATAGAGGAGTGAGTCGGAGAGAGGACTAGTTAGGAGGAGGGAGAGGAGCAGGAGGGGAGAGGGCGAGAGGAGGAGGGCCGAGGCAGAAGAAGGCGGCACAGGTAGGAACAAAACAGGCAGGGCCGGGGGCAAAGACAGCCAGGGGCTGGCGCACGAGGAGGGGGGAGAAGGGCGCAGGAGAGAGGAGAGGGGCAGGCAGGCGAGCACAGACACAGGGCGCAGGCAGAGCACGAGCCCTCGCCTCTCCTCCACCTCCTTCCTCCCTCCCATCCTCCCCTCCTCCTCCCTCCTACCTCCTCCTCCTCCTCTCCTCCTCCCTCCTGCCCTCCTCTCTCTGCCCTGCCCCTCCTCCTCCTCCTCCGTCCTCCTCGCTCCCTCCTCCTCCTCCTCCTCCTCCTCCTCCTCCTCCTCCTCCTCCTGCCCTCCTCATCAGCTCCCTCTCCTCCTCCTCCTCCTCCTGCTCCTCCTCCTCCTCTTCCTCGCCTCCTCCTCCTCTCCCTCCTCTTCCTCCTCCTCCCCCTCCTCCTCCTTCTCCTCCTCCTCCTCCTCCTCCTGCTCCTCCTCCTCCGCGGCGAGCCAGCGGGTAAAGGAGGAGCACGGCCCTCGCCTGCCCGCCGCAGGCCCTGCACCCGCCGCTGGCCGAGAAGGCAAAAGAGCCGCTGAAGCACTTGCAGCACTTGGGGCCTCCGTTCGCCGCAGCCGCCCCTGCGACGAGGCCGCCCGACGACGAGGCCGTGCGACGACAACGCAACCCGAAGACGACGACGACGCCCGACGACGCCTGACGCCCGACCACGACGACGACGCCCGACGACGACGACGACGACGACGCCCGAAGACGACGACGACGCCCGACGACCCCGACGACGACGCCCGAAGACGACGACGACGACGACAACGACGACGAGGTCGTCCGCCGCCGCCGCGGTGCCTGGACGCCGCCGCCGGCGGTCGCCCTCGCCAGCCGCCGCCGCCGCTGCGGCAGCATCGCAGCGCCGCCGCAGCCGTCGCCGGCCGCCGCCGCCGTCGTCGACCCGCCCAGGGTGCAGTGCCGTGTCCCAGGAGGCGCCCTCGCCAGGGATGCGTTCCCTCCTTGCTCCCCCCACCGTCTGCCTCCTTCTCTCTTCTGTCCTGCTTATTCGTGTGACTCTTCTTCTCAATCATAGAATCAGTGTTGATGTCAATATCCTTCGCCTGATTCTTATTATTACTCTTATTATGGTTATTATTCCTAGTAATCTGATAGTATTAGTGTTGATTGTTATTCTCACTATCATTATTACTCTGATTCTTGTCCTCATTCCACTATATGCTTCTTCTTACTTTTCATTCGTATTTGATGTGTCTCCTTATGATGATTAGTTGTCTTCCTCTTCTTAGTATTCGTATCCTGTCTTTCACTGCCGGTGGACGGGTGCCTCCTGGTGCGGGCATGAACAGACCCGTGGAGCGGGCGCGGTCGGCGCCAGGGCGAGAGCGCACGGAGCTTACGCACGGGCGCACGGTGCTGCCGTTCTGCCGGGCCGGAGCGCCACGTGCCCGAGCAGTGCGAGCTGGGGGGAGCTCGAGCGAGCGCGCGGCTCCCGAGGGCGAGGGCACTCCTGGCAAGGTCGCCCCTGGGACGAGGACGGCAGGAGGAAAGAATCATAATGATAATAATGATAATACTCATAATAAGAATAACAATAATAATACTAACAATATTAATGATAATAATAATAATAATATAAGTAATAATAATAATAAGTACGTAAAAGATGATAAGAAGAAGAAATAACATCGTAATCAAAAGAAACTCGCATAACATAAACACGATACTACTACTGATAAGAAGAATACCAATAATGGAGCCAATAAGAATAATGAAGGAACATGATAATACGAACAATAACAACAAGAGAGAAGGAGGCAAACCGGGGGGGGGCAAGGAGGGAATGCATGCCTGGCGAGGGCGCCTCTGGGATTGGCTATCCAAGAGCCCGAGGGCATCCCTAGCATGTCTGAGGAGCCCGAAGGACAGGAGGAGAGGGAGGAGGAGGAGGACGACGACGACGAGAAGGAGGAGGAATGGGAGAAAGAGGACTGGGTGGAAACATACGAAGATGACGAGGAAGAGAGGCACGAGTCGGAGGATCACTGCAAGGACGAGGAAGAGGAGAATGAGGACGACGACGAGGTGCAACGACACGAAGATGGCGAGGAAGAGAGGCGCGAGTCCGAGCATCACCGCAGGGACGAGGCCGAGGCGAAGCAGGAAGAGGACGACGAGCTGCACGAGAAGGACTACGAGGAGAGGAGGACGAGCGTGACGACGACGGCGCAGGCCGGTCACATCCTCTCCTGCCTCTCCCCCTCCTCTTTTCCTTCTCGATGCCCCCCCTCCTCCCCCTCCTCTGAAGGGGCAGCGGTGCAGGGGAGGGTACGAGCTCAGGGGGGGAGCGTCGAGCCGGAATCGGCGACACGTCACCGGTAGACAGGCCACAGATCCCCGATCCGCAAGCACCCAGGCGGGGAGGGCTCTCGGGCCCGAATCGGCGAAGAATGGGCGGTTGGGGATCGGCGCCTACTGGGCCCAATCCCTCCTCGAACGTTGCCCTCGTCCTCCTCCTTCTCCTCCTCCTACTTATCTTTCTTCTCCTCCTCCTCCTCCTTTTCATCCTGGCAGGCCTAAGCCGACAGCACCATCTATTGCGGCACAAGGCCAGGGCTAATCTGTGTCCTCGCCCTGGGCAACCGTCCGACTGGTCTGGGGCCCGAAACGGGCGTCCAGAAGCCTCAAGTTCCGGGCCATAACTCGGCTCTCCGGCGACTGATCGGGATGATCTGGCAACTCCCCGAACGCTCTCGGCGAGGCGCAGCTGCTGGAAGACATCCCGAGGCTGGAAGACCCCCGGGAACCGACGAAAACGCTTGGGAACCTCGAACTTCGAACCCTTAACGTTGACCCTGATCTTTCCAAAATCCGACCCGAACGACGGACGATGGGGACTGCGACGACGGCGGCGGTGGTGACGGCGACGACGATCACCACAACCGCGACGCCGACGATCTCCACGGCCACGGCGAGGACGACGACCTCTGCGACCTGGCTGACCTCGACGGCGCCGGCGGCGACGCCAACGGCGACGACGACGACGACGACTTCGGCGGCAGCAGGCGCAGGCGCGCACGCCTGCGACCTCGCCGCCGGCGCCCTCCTTCGGCCGGACGGCCGCCACCGACAGGAACAAGGAGAGGCGACACCAACACCACTAGGTCGAGGAGGTGCGAGGAGCACGGGGGTCTCCCTGGTGGTGTGGTCCCCTCCTCTCGCTCGAGGCATTCCCAGCCTCCAGCTCGGGGGGGCATCGTGGACCTCCTCGCTGGAGGTGGCCCCCCTGGTGGTGTTGGTGTCGCATTTCCCCCCTGCGACACCGACCGCTGCCGCCGCCGCAGCAGCCGCCGTCGGAGGGGTCGCCGCCGGTCGTCACCATCGGCGAGGTCGGCACTGCAGCCGTCGGAGCCTGCCGCCGCCGTGGGCGTCGTCGCAGTCGCCGTAAGCGTTGCCGCCGCCACCGTCGAGGTCGTCACGGTTGTGAAGGTAACCTTAGGTCGGGCATGTTCTCCAACAGGCGGATTTTGGAAGAACGATGTTGGAAGACAAATCAGTATTGTTCTTCATCAGAAAACAATTTATACATACAAATCAGTATTGTTCTTTATCGGTATTGTTCTTTATCAGATGTTGGAAGACAAATCAGTCCGGCAAGTTCTCCAACAAGCGAGCACAACAAGTCGTCACCAGACAATTTTGAATATTCTGGAATATTCCTCCTGTTGAGGGACACGCCTGACTTCAAGGTAACCGTCGTCGTCGTCGCCTCGGCCGTGGAGGTCGTAGGCGTCATGGTTTTCGTCGTCCTCCTCCTCCTCCTCCTCCTCCTCCTCCTCCTCCTCGTTCCCGTCATAGGTCGGGCATGTCCTCCTACAGGCGGATTTTGGAAGAACAATAATCACAAAATGCCCAACCACAGTCTGCTGCTCCCTTGCCTCCAGCTCTCATCCAGCCCGTCCACAGCCTCCCCCTCGCTCTCCCTCACTCCCTCCCCTTCCTCCTCCCCGTCCTTCTCCTCCTCCTCCTCCTCCTCCTCCTCCTGAGATGGCATAGCGACCTCACGCGGCGGCTTACGCGGGCAGTCAGCGCGGGCTTGCGCGGGCAGCTTACTAGGGAAACGAACTCTATACACCGACGCTTTCCCCGACCCTGCTCTGAAATTCGCACAGGAGCACGGAATTTGGTGTATACGGGATCCTGGTGTATACATGTTTCGTTGTTCCCCTTGGGAAACGGAAGACAAGTATACACCACACCACCCCGACGTCGTCCCTGACCCTTAAAAAGTCGTGAGGTTGAAAAACAACCCGCCACTGGTAATCTACATGTTCCAGTTTGCGACTTACGCGCCAATTTCGGCGCAGACGACCTCTTGTTTTTGCATCGCCCATGTCTTTTCTCGCATCCCGTGCGCCCTTCGGAACTCAACGACGCCGCCTGAAACCCTCATCCACTCTCATCCCACCTCCTCGAGCTCATCTTTCCGTTCCAGCGCCTCCTCCTCCTCCGACTCCTCTCGATGCGTGCGGGTCGCCGCGCGGAGGAGAGGCAGTGGATGACAGCCTCTGCGCGATGAGGGGAGGGAGACGAAGAGCTGGCTGGTTGGTTGTTTGCTTGCTTGCTTCGTTGCTTGCTTTGTTGGAGCCTTTCGGACCTGGTTTGAGTCCGCGGGTGCGGCTTCTCTGGCAGGGCTGCCGGGCGGAAGGCGGCCCGGACAGACTCTCCGGCCTGGCCCAGGCCTGGGCCACCGCGGGATGGCCAGAGGCGGGGAGGAAGAACAGCAGGAGGAGGCTGCAGCAGCAGCGGGAGGGAGCGAGGAAGAGGAGGAGGCCGAGGAGGCGGTGCCTGGGGCCGTGGAGGAGGACGGGGGCAGAAAGACGGAGGCAGGGAAGGGGGCGACACTGCAAAGGCTTTAGGGCTGGTGCCAGTGCTCCTTCTTGGGGATGCGCGACATGCGTCGCGGACCCCAAGGGCAACGGAAGTCACGGTCAAAGGAGGAGGAGGAGGAGGAGGAGGAGGAGAAGGAGGAGGAGGAGGAGGAGGAGGAGGAGGAGGAGGAGGAGGAGGAGGAGGAGGAGGAGTGGGGGGGGGGGTCGGGGATCTCAATGGGCATCTGACGGGCTTTGTTTCTCCCTGGTGGGCATCCAAATGCCTCCTGGATTATCCGACGGCAGCGGGTGCCTCCGACGAAATGCGAGACAGGAAGAAGGGGGTTCCAGCGGAATGTACGTGGGGAAGTCTGCAGTCTCGAGCGACGGAAGCAGGGGGAGAGATGGGGAATCTGACCCCCCCCTTCCAGAGGGGCAGGGAGGCATTTTTGTTTGACGCTGACTGTTGATCTGCTTGCTTGTTCATTATTCCCAACACGTTTTGTGGGGTTATGGTTTTCTTCCCACCCGCGTCGCACCCGCGTCTTCCTCACCTCCCGCCTCCCCCTTTCTCCTCCTCCTCGTCCTTCTTCCCTTCACCCACACGCAACACATGCACTGCACATGCATCAGACACGCGTCTACATGCAGCCGCACGCATGCACACACTCGCGCACACACAACATACACCATATAACGCTAGTGCACGAGTGGCGTGTTCATAGCATCATACACCAAAGACGTATGCACAACACATTGGGCACCCACATGAGGCACACGTCCCGATACGGCCGCACACGCATCATACACATACACATCGCACGCCATACACACATCGCACATGTAGGATGCGCAGGGCACGGCAGGCATGGCACTTTCTCGACAGCAGAGGGAGTGCGTTGGGGGTGGTCCCTGAAAGCGGTGTATGCATACGACGCTGTCGCAAAGCCTAGCAGGCGTGGCATGTACGACACCAGGGGGGTGCGCACGAGATGGTCCCTGAGCGTGGCCTCTATCCGTGCCACCAGTCGTCCAGGGCGTAGCAGGCGTGGCACTTTCCCGACACCATTTGGGGGGTGCACGGGGTGGTCCCTGAGCGCGGTCGCTATCCGTGCCGGTCGTCCAGGGCATGGCAGGAGTGGCACTTTCTCGACGCCATATAGGGGGTGCGCACGGGGTGGTCCCTGAGCGCGGCGGCTATCCGTGCCGGTCGTCCAGGGCATGGCAGGAGTGGCACATTCTCGACACCATAGGGGGTGCGCAGGAGGCGTATTCGCCACGGTCGTCGTCGTCATCGTCGTCGTCGTACATCACCGTCGTCATCGTCGTCGTCGCCGGAGAGGAGGGCGGAGGAGGAGGAGGTGGAGAAGGAGGAGTAGGAGGAGGAGGAGGGGGAGGAGGAGAGGCAGGAGGGGTATACGAAACGGGATCACGAGGAGAGCGAGAAGGGGAACACGAGAAGGACGAGGGATGATGATGAGGGGGTCCTTGCGAGGGGAGCGGCGCCGCCCTGGGGGGGCAAGTTACAGGGAGCTTCTGGGGAGCTTCTGGAGTGGAGGCGGACCGGGTCGGAGCAAACAGAGGAAGCAGCACTAGCACATAAGCATGAACTTTCTACGGTCCGCGCGGATGTCCAGGACCTGCACGGAGCGCGCCAGGGGCGGCGCCGAAGACGCCGCCCCCGGGGGGTCAACCCAGATCCAAGACTTGAGCAGGGACCGACCGTCCCGGCACTCCTGTAGTCCTACCATGAAATCTTCGTGAGACCCAGAAATGCTCCAGGAACACGAACCATGTTCTTAGAACGTACATCGAATGTGTTAAAACGCTACAGCTCCAGCCAGACATGTTCTAAGAACATGTCGTGCAAACCACAAAAGGTTCTCAAAACATTGTTCGGTGGGCCTATCAGGCGAGCCAAGACGCTTCGCCACTGCCTGAAAAGAGTCCGCGCGGACCGTCGACAGTTTCCAGGCGGTGACCCCTGGCAGGAATGACCCTTGGTTCGCGGCTCCACGGGGGACGCGGGGTGGCCGAACCCAGGCGCGCGGGCCGCGGCTGCCGCTCCGCGTTTTCCGCGCTCGGGGACCCGAGGGGGGCCCGCACCGAAGGCCACTGGAGCGAAAGGCGACTCTGAACGTCTACAGCGAAGGCTAGCTCACGAGAAACCTCCCACGAGAAACCCAACCCTGAGACCCCAGGACGTCCATGGACTTTTGGTGTGGGAGCGTCACGCTCTCCACAGCAAGACCATCGAAACCCAAGAAACCCGGGGCACCCTGGAGGCAAGCAGGGTGTTTCTCAGCATGGGCCCCCACTGCAGTCGAACGGAGGCGCAGGAGACCCAGACACTCGACGCCACGACTTGTCCCTGACGTCGACCCCTAGAGGTCTCGACCCCTTCCCCGGGACCGGCTCTTCGTCCCGGGTCGTTCTTGGGACGGCCCCGAGGCCCAGCGAGGGCCTCGAGAGGCCAGAAATATAGAAAAACCTCCCGTCGTGAGTTTTCCACGACGCGAGGGAAGCCGGGAACCCCCCTCTGCGTACGTACCCCCGACGTGGGGCGAGGGTGTTTCTTAGCATGGGCCCCCGCTGCAGCCGAACGGAGGTGCAGGAGACGGCGGGAAGCCGCCCACCACCCCCTGCTGGGCCTGCTCTATCCACCGCCACCACCGCGAGTAGGAGGGGGAGGGGTCCTTCTCTCCCCCTCCTCCTCCTCCTCCACCACTCTTCCTCCTCGTTTTTTGGTTTTTTTTCGTTTTTCTCACTCCTCCTGTGCTCCTCTTCCCCCCATCCTCCTCCTCCTCCTCTCTCCTTCTCCTCCTCCTCTCTCCTCTCCTCCTCCGCCCCACCTCCTCCTCCTCCTCCTAACTCTCGCTCCCTCTCCTCCTCCTCTGCGCTCCTCCTCTCCTCCTCCTCCCTTCCTCGCTCCTCCTCATGCTCCTCCTCCTCCCCTCTTCTTCCCCCCCTGCCCGTCCTCATCCTCGCACACCGCATCGCTCCTCCTCCTTTTACTACAACTACTATCGCTCCTAATCCCACCCTTCCTCTGCCTCCTCCTCCGCCTCCTCCTCTCTCACTCGCCTCCTCCTCCTCCGCCTCCTCCTCCTCATCCTTGATCCTCGATCCTCGATCCTGCTCCGCCCACGCCTTGGCACAGAGAAGGCCTCCCCCTCCACCTCCTCCTCCTCCTCCTCCCCCGCACCCCCCCAACTTCTGGTGGTGGTGGTGGTGGAAAACAGGCTCACCACCCCCCTTCTGTCCTTGGCCGCCGCCGCTAGCGCCTCCTTGGCCTTGCCGGCAGCCGCCGCCGCGCCCGCAACGGCCGCGTCCTCCACGGCGCCTGGCGCGTCGCCGGCCGCCGGTCGTCCGCCAGTCGTCCGCCGCCGGTCGGCCATCGTCGACGTCGTCGTCGTCGTCGCCGCCGACGTCGTCGTCGTCGCCCTCGTCGTCCTCGTCGTCGTCGTCGTCGTCGTCGTCGCCCTCGTCGCCCTCGTCGTCGTCGTCGTCGTCGTCGTCGTCGTCGTCGTCGTCGTCGTCGTCGTCGTCGTCGTCGTCGTCGTCCGTCGCCGTCCGTCGCCGTCAGTCGTCGTCATGAATTGAGGAGAGGCGTCGTGGATCGAAGAGGGTCGAGATTCGATCCCCTGCCCTTCTGTATCCTCTGGGGGGCCTCCAAAGGCTTCGAGACCCTCCTAAGGCCTCTGGGTACCTCCCAAGGCCTCCAAGGACCCGAGGCCTCCAAGGACCTTGAGGTGCCGCCGGACGTCGACGTCTTCGCGGTCGTCGCCGTCGCCGTTATCGCTGTTGTCGCCCAGGCTCAAGGAGGGTCCAGGGTCGGGGGGCCAGGTTCGAGGTTGAAGCCTCCGCAGGGGCCCTCGTGACCTCTGCTGGCCAGAATGCGCCCTAGGAGGGGTCAAGGGGTTCTGGTCTTATGTCGGGCGTGTCCTCCTGCAGGCGGATTTTGGAAGAAAACTAAAGACAAATCTTCCAAAAATGCTCCAGGATGGCCAAACATAGTTAAAACATAGTCCCCAGACTACTGTTTCTTCTATTTATACTATTTTTGAATATGGTTCAACATCGCCCCAAACATATTTTTGGAAATTTCCCCCAGACATGTTTCAAATACTGTTTTAGGATATTTCTCCTGTAGAGGGACAGGCCCGACTTGACCCGCTCAGACAGCATGCTTCGCCTCCAGGAACAAGCCGCCGCCGTGCCTGCAGCGCGCAGCGGAGTGCCCCAGGGCCCATGCAGCCCTCAAACATTCAGAGGCACATTTTACGGGGCCAGGCCACTGGTAGGGTAAGGACAATTGGTTTGGGTCAAACTCTAAGTTATAAGGGCTTGGAGAACATGATTTCCGGGGACTCCCCAGGATTTCCCGCGCGTGTCGCGCGTGTCCTCTGGTAGTACGGCCTGCGAAACATGGGCCCAAACGCGCCAAAGAGGGCCGAAGATGCATCCGAGAAGGCCCACGAGTGCTCCGGTACGCTCAAGCTGGCCTCAACACGGCCCAAAGATGCGCCGGAGACATCCCAAGAGTGTTCCAAGAGGCGTCGCAAGAGGGCCCCAAGAGACAAACAACGTAATTTCCTTTCGTGTTTGGTCGTTATTGGCCTTCTGCCCTTTTCGGCTTTCCAGCCCTCCAAGACGGCCCACGAGGCGCCCAAGACAACCACAAGACAGCCCCGGAGGCCTGCCCAAGAGGGCCCAAAGACGGCCAAAAAGGCGCACAGGACGGCCCAAGAGGCCCCAAAGATGGCCCCAAGAGTGGGCCCAGATGGGGAACCCGAACGGACATTTCGAGCCCTCGGCCCCGAGGGCCCACCAGGTGGCCCCGAAAGGCCCCCAAGAGGCCCCAAGAGGCCCCAAGAGGCTCCCAAGAGGCTCCGAGAGGCCCTCAGGAGGCACCCAAGAGGCTACCAAGAGGCCCCCGAGAGGAGGAGAAGGAGAAGGAGGAGGAGAAGGAGAAGGAGAAGGAGAAGGAGGAGGAGGGGGAGAAGGAGGAGGGGGAGGAGGAGAACATGGACGCGAGGAAGGGGGGAGGAAGGAGGGGGGGGAGAGAGGAGGAGGAGGAGGATGAGGAGAAGGAGGAGGAGGAGGAGGAGGAGGACGAGGAGGAGGAGGAGGAGGAGGAGGAGAAGGAGGAGAGACCCGAAGAAGCATCACCGAGAACTCTGACCCTCCAGCACGGTGGCCGCAGGTGCACTACGGCCAGGAGCTGCTTGCGCAGCGCGTCGCCACGGCAACCCCGCCGCCACGCCGTGGTGCCCTGCGGGCGGGCGGCGTGCCGCTCCGCTCCGCGGCGCGGGAGGCTCGGAAAGGCTCGGGACGCCGCAGCCTGGGGACAGGGACGTGGACAGCGTGTCGCTCCAACGCGTGGTGTGCCAGAAAAGGTGGCGCGACACGCTTTGCAAGAGCTCCAGGGCCGCAGGAGAGCGAGGACGCAGGGACTCGGGCCCTGGGAACACCTGCATCGCGGCGAGGCAGGAGGCAGTGGAGGAGGAGGAGCAGGAGGAGGAGGAGGAGAATGAGGAGGATGAGGAGCAGGATGGGGGGAAGAGGGAGGAGGAGGAGTAGGAGTGAGGGAGGAGGCGGGAAGGAGGGGGAAGAAGTAGGGAGGAGGAGAGGAGGGAGTAGAGTAGGAGGAGGATGATGAGGAGGAGGAGGAGGAGGTTGGATGTATTGGGGCGAAAAGGAGGAAGCTGGATGAAAATGAGGAGAAGGATGAGAAAGAGAAGGATGAAAACGTTTCCCTGGACAAAGTAGCGAGTAGTGAGAAGAATGTAGGGAGTAGGTCGGAGGAATGAGAGGAGGAGAGGAGGTGGAGGATAGGAGGAGTAGTATGTGTGTGAGTATTATTGGATGGAGAGCAGAAGGAGGAGGGACGAGGAGGAGAACTAAGACGCAGGGACGCAGGCCCTGAGAGAACCAGCCTCGTGGCGAGAGGAGAGACAATGACGCGGGCAGGCGTCCTGCGCCCTCGGCGTGGCCGGGCGGCGGGTGGGCGCCGGGGGGCGGCGGCGGGGTGCAGAAGTCCTCGCGGCTCGCGCTCGCCGCGCGCCGCGCGGCGCGCGCCGTCGCCATCGGAGTCCCTCGGCGGCCCTCGGCGGCCCTCCGCTCACCTGCCGTTCTCGTCCTTCTCCTCCTCGTCCTCCTCCTCATCTCCTTCCCCCCGAGTCCTCCCCTACCTCGTCCTCCTCACTCACTCGCCTCTCGTCGTCTCCGTCCTCCTCCTCCTCCTCCTCCTCCTCCTCTTCCACCTCCTCCTCCTTCTCCTCTTCCTCCTCCTCCTCCTCCTCCTCTTCCACCCTTTCCTCCTCCTCCTCCTCCTCCTCCTCCTCCTTCTCCTCCTCCTCCTCCTCCTCCTCCTCCCCGTCCTCCACGTCCACCTGTTCCTCCCGTCCACCTCCCACCCCCCAACGCCCTCCACGCGCCTGGCACCTCCGCCCCCTCCGCCGCCCTCCGCCTTCGCCTCCCCCCTCCTCTCGTCTCTTCCTTCCGCCTCCTCCATCCTCACGCAGCCCTGCAGGCACGATGCTGACACGAAGAGAGCCACGAACGGAACGAAGGATTCGTCGTCTGTTTCTGGCCACGACGTGTCGAGCCTCGCTCGGCCACGCACGGGCTTCGCAACACCGATCGGGTGAACGGGACCAGAAACCAGAGCCCCTCCTGAATCTAGAGTGGCTTTTGTTTGGGTGGCCTTGGAAGGGGCCCAGGGATACACAAATAAATGCACGCAAATCCCAGGATCCCCCATAGTTTGCCATCTGTTCTAGGTTTTCGGCTTCCACCCCCATTCCCCATATGTTTTTCCGTATTTGCTTCAAGTCGACATGTCATTGTGTCTGTGTGTGTTTCCCCCCTCCTGGCTGAATCCAAAGATGCTGTTGTCTCAGCGCCTTGCCTGCACAGCCGGGAACTTTTGCATCGCGTGTCGCGGCGGCGGTACCGGCGGCATGCCATGCCTGGCAAGCGGGCAGAGTGTCGCTCCGCGCCGCGGGGCGGAAGGCTCGGAAAGGCTCGGGACGTTGACGCCTTGGGACAGGAACGAGGACAGCGTGCTACGCCAAGAAACGTGGTGGGCCAGAACCCGCAGAACGACACGCTATCCAAAAGCTCCCGACCGCAAGAGAAACGAAGACGCAGGGAGTCAGGCCCTGGGAGAACCTGCCTCGTGACGAGAGGGGAAGAGAAGGAGGAGGAGGAGGAGGAGGCGGAGGATGAGGAGGAGGAGGAGGAGGAGGAGGAGGAGGAGGGGAGGAGGAGGAGGAGAAGGGAGGAGAAGGAGGAGGAGAAGGAGGAGGAGGAGGAGTGAGGAGGAAGAGAGAAGTCCACCACCTCCTCCTCCTCCTCCTCCCCCTCCTCCTCTCCTCTCCTCCCATCTCCTCCTCCTCCTCCTCCTCCATGCTCCTCTCCCTCCTCCTCCTCCTCCTCCTCCTCCTCCTCCTCCTCCTCCTTCTCCTCCTCCTCCTCCTCCTCCTCCCCCTCGTGCTCCCATCCTCTCGCCTTCACATCCCTCTTCCTCCCCCCTCTCCCTGCGCTGCCCGCTGCCGTCGGCGGCCCGCCTCTCCCGCCCCGGCCGGCCGCCCCGACCCCCCGCGCCGGGGACTCCCAGCTCCGCGTGAAGGCCCAGGACGACGGCAGCTCTGCGCCGCCGGACCTCCGCAGGCGGTCACGGGGGGGGCAGGGGCGGGAGGAAGGGGAGGGAGAGGGGCGAAGGAACCAAGGGCGAGGAGGGGAGGGAGAGGGAAGGAGGGAGGAGTGGGGGACGGGGGAGGGAACACAATAAGAACAAGTATGTAGACGCAGAAGAAGAAAGAGAAGGAGAGGAGAGGAGAGGGGGCAGAAGAAGAAGCACTGTAGAAGCAGATGGACGTAAGCTTTTGTCGCCCTGCGAAATTCATGGATCTGCGCAGGACCCCCCTCCTTGGCACGCGGAGCGCGCGAGGGGCGGCGCTGGAGGCGCCGCCGGGGGGGGGGGCCCAGCGCGGATCCAAGAATATCCGACCGGAGCGCCAAGACGTTATATTCATGGCGTTTTTTCCTCCGAGGGGAGTAGGAAGCAAGGATGAGGAAGGGAGGGGAGGAGGGAGGAGTGGGGGACGGGGGAGGGGGGACGAGCGAGGTGGCAAGAGGAAAGGAAGACAGTAGGGCGCAGGGGAAGAAGAGAGGAGTGATGGGGCGAGGGAAGGGGACTTCGGCCGACCCCGAACCCAACACCGTGCAAACTGTTTGTCCGCCGGCGGCGAGGCAGAGGCAATCCGCACCACCGCGGGGCTGATCGGGGCATCCGATGAGCAAATTGTCCGGCGCGCAAAACATGAAAAGCCGTGCCCAAGTATCGGGGATCTGCTGACCCGGGTAAATCTAGACCCGGGTCAGTCAGGCCTTCCAATATCCTACAAGATCCTGCAAGATTCTGCACCCAAAGCTGGGCAAATGCGGGGGAACCTGCAATGCAAGATCCTGCAGGATCCTGCACCCAAGCCCGGGTCAATGCGACCTGGCCCTGCAGGATCCTGCAAGATCGGGCGCTCTGGCTGACCCCCGTTTGCGTTGACCCCCGTCTCAAGGCTCCCGAAAGTACAGCTAAAGGCGTGCGCCGGGGGGAGGCGTGAGGCAGGACGGGGGTTTGCTGCTGCGGCGCGCGGGACTTCGCTGCGTGCGTGCTGAACGCGGGTTTGCTGCTGTGACGCCTGGGGCCTCGCGGGGATCCTCCTCCTCCTCCTCCTCCTCCTCCTCCTCCTCCTCCTCCCTCCTTCTCCTCCTCCGCCCTCCTCCTCCTCCGCCTCCTCCTCCTCCGCCTCCTCTTCCTCCTTCTCCTCGCTCCTCCTCCTCCTCGCTCCTCCTCCCTCCTCCTCCTCCTCCTCCTCCTCCTCCGCCTCCTCCTCCTCCTCCTCCTCCCTCCAGCACTCACGCCACTGCCCGGCCGCACCTCGCTGGTCGGGGCCGCGCCTCCCCGCTGCACCGGCGGGGAAGGGGGCCGGGCCCAGAGGGAAAGAGCAGAAGCCTACCACGAGGCAGGCGCGAAGGAAGGAAGTGCGACGGGGCACAGGGTGGCGACGGCCGCGAGCGAGATCTGCGCGCGCCAAGGCAGAAGGCACAGCGACAGGCGAAGCACGTGCCCAAGGGGGAACGCGCGGGAGGCTCGGGGCCCTGACGGGCGTGCGCCGGGCGAGCTGGGAGGAGAGGAGGGCAGGAACGGACGTCGAGCTCAAGACCGTGGCCGACAGAGCAATAGCAAGCAGCAAGGCATCCAGCAACGAGCGCCAGCAAAAACAACGTGAGCATGAGCACCCAAGCGGGGCTTGCAGTGCGAGGAGAGGCAACGAGCCACAACGAGCGCCCCTGGTCGTGCGGCCTGAAATGGCGCGAGACCAAGACGCAACGGGGGGCGAACGGGGAGACTCGGAGGAAGGAGAAGGCAGACTTTGGCAGCGCGTACAAGGGTGTAGAGGGAGGGTGGAGTGCTTCTTTTGAAGGAGGCTGCTTCTTAGAAGGCGCCGGCCTTACATCTACAGATGAGGCCAGCGCCTGCTAAGAACCAGGGGTGCCTCTAAGAAGCCCTCCCCTCTCCCTCCCCCCCTCTGCGCGTGGCTGAAGACTGACAGCCCCCGAACTGAAGACTAGATTGGGCGAGCCCTTCCCCCCCCCCCCGAGAGCAGCAGCGGCCGAGCCCCGCGCGCGTCGCCCTCGTCGCGCTCGTGCTCGTCCATGTCGATTGGGCACACGTGCGCGGCGCCGCTGGAGGGTGTGCGGGTGCACAGCGGGTGGCCGACGTCCTCGGGGTGCTCGCCTGCCAGCTGCTCCTGCAGCGTGCGTCGCAGCCAGTCGCCCTCGTCTCCGTCGCCACCAGCGTGGCTGTCTTCCTCCTCCTCCTCCTCCTCCTCCTCCTTCTCCTCCTCTAAAGGGGCCCAAGGACGCACAAATGAACAGACACAAATCCCAGGAGTCCCCAACATTTTCAAATACGTTCTGCACTTCTCGTCTTCCCCCCCACACTTCCAATAGTTTCCCATATTTTCTTCTTGGGATCGACGACTATCTGTGATTTCCCCTCCTGAATCCTCACCACTAGCCTCCTCGCCGTCCTCTTCTTCACCCTGTCCTGCCCCTCCTCCCTCTCCCCTCCCCCTGCAGTTTGCCCTCCTGCTTATCCCGCTCATGCCCCTCCCACTCGTCCTCCTCTTCATCTCCATTGTCCTCCTCGTCCTCCGCCTAGATCTCTGCATCTCGAACACATCCTTCAAGCGGACACACGGCCGCCGCGGACTCCCACGGGCAGACACAGCGGAGCAACCTCACCCACTACTCACTCTTGGTGGGCCTTGGAAACGGCAAGGCCGTTTTTCACAAGCTCCGTTTTGCCGTTGTGTTGCCGGTTCCGTCGCCGTTCTTGTTGCCGGCTCCGGGTCTGGCTCCAAGCTGGGAGCCGCTGTTCTGCCGCGTCGTCGTCGTCGTCGGGCGGCGCCCCCCCGCCAGGGGCCGCCGTCGCGCGGGGGGCGCGCCCTGGCCATATGCCGAGCGCGGCACGGCTGGCCGCGGCTTTCGGCGGTGGACAAACCTCCCTTTCGTGAACCTCCCGTCAAAGAACACGGCCTGAGACCGAAACCGACGGACCTGGACCCGCAAACATGACGGCCGCGACGCCCTCTCGCGGACCGAAAACGGCCAAGCCGCTGATCGACGCGTCACGGTAGGAGGTCTGTCAATCTCCGAGGCCTGGGCAGAGGAGGCGCCGCCGGCGTGCCCGTGACCCTCCGCGGGGGGCCCCCTGCCGCCCCCTGCGGCCTGCACGGCGGGGCCTGGCCCCCGGGGAGGCAGGGCGGGCCACGGACCCCGCGGGGCCGAGGACGAGGCGACGCCGCAGGGCGGCGGCGGCGCGAGGGGGCGAGGGCACCCTGCGCTGCGGGCTTCGAGACCTGGAGCCCCCTCGACTCGCAAAGAGGAGCTGCCCGAGGCCCACTCCTGCAGCCTCGCGGCTCGCGACGGCTTCTCTCGCGGGAGCCCGTCGAGACTCGCACCCTCGGAGGAAGCTCCACGCGTGCCCCGGCGGCAGGGCGGGGCCATATGTGGCGGAGGGCGGGCGCACGGCGAGCGGGCCGAGGGGGGGAGGCAACTATGGGGGGGACGAGGCCGGGCGAGGCGGGCCGGGACGGGCCGAGGGGCCGACTGCGGGCCGCCGCCCCGTCGGCGCGGGGGGCAGCGGCGGGGGGCCGCTGCGCGCGCCTCCGCGGGGGCAGCGGGGGCAGGCCCGGGGCAGGCTCCGCCGCCCCGAGGGCCCGGGATCTCCGCGGGGCCGGCTCGGGGCCGCCGCGCCGCCGGCCCCAGGGGCACCTGGGGCCCTGCGGATTTGCGCGGGCTGCCCCCTCCCCCCTTCCTTCTCCTGCCTCCAGCGCCAGGTTCGTCGCAGCACCCGCTCACGCAAGAGCCAAGGGGAGAGGAAGGACCCCCCCCCCCACGCCACCACCACCTGCTCCCCCCCCCCCCCCCACTGTCTCCCCCAACTGCTCCTCCACCCTGCCCCTGCGAGGGACTCCTCCTCGGCGCCCTGGCAGACGTGTCGGCGGGGAGGGCTGGGCCTCATCCTGGGACTGGGACGCGGGCGGAAGACGGGTCGTTTACAGACGCTGGCTCTCGCCGCAGCGCAGCACACGCACGTTCGGACAATTACCAGCGGCTGAGCTCATGAGGGCGTGCCGCTCTCAAAGCGTAGCTCTCGCCAAGACGCCGCGGACATCCGTCTTAATGCTTGCAGGGGGGCGCTGATGGCGCAGTGCTGTGAGTTTAGAAACGCGGTGTTGACCGTAGCGCGGCGAACATTCGGCTACACGGGTGGATCGCAAGTGCCATTTTCAAATTGAAATAGGGCTCAGCATGATCCCCGCGCATGTCCAGTATGTAACATGTGCACAACCAAAACCACGGATGCAGGGCAGGCTTTTCCCAGTTCTGGCTCTCGCCTGTTTTCCGCGTGATGTCTGACCCTGGAGCTTGCTGATTAAGCAATTACGCACTTCGACTGTACTTCCTTCTCAAATTCTTGCCCATCCCAAACTGTGTTCTCGCTCCAGCGCAACACAGATCGCTACTAACTCTTTCACCAAGAGAAGAGACGAAGAACCGTTCCGTTCATGATCATTTCGCTCTGAAGCCGAATGAAAAAACGGAAGGTCTGATACGCAACTCAAAACAAGTGCGGCTCAAGCCTTTTATGTCGATGGATCCCTTCACCGTTTTCCAGTATCCACTTGCCGCGGTGACAACAGAAACTGGATATTGCGATTGAGGAGTGGACTTGGGACGGGGGGTATGGTGAAGTGTGAGTTGCGCGTGCTGAGTCTCTTCTGGGTCACACACAAGCTTGCATGGTGGCGCTCATGCAAGACAACACGATGAAGGACACGTCGCTGTGATGTATGCAGTTCGCATCACGTCTGCGAGCAACACTCTGCAAATGTATCAACGTACTCCAAGTAAGCGCATTCATGATTATGTGCACTTTGCCTGCGGAATCTGACGAAGCCACTCTCGTAACGGGGGGATTGCCTACTGCATGCTTAGAGGTGTGCATTTGTCTATCTCTCGATGGGAGGGCAGCCACTACGAACCACGCAAGCGTGGCCATCGGGGCCCAGACCTCTCCCGGAAGCATGTATAACATTCATGCGCGTCTGAAGATGCAGTTACATACGTAAGTTCAAGTACACAGACGTACATTATATGATCTATGTGCTGGCGACCCTGGGGCTAAAGGGAGACGCGGTACCCACCGTGGCCCTCCCCCGAGTCCTCTTCTGCAGCGTCCTCGGCACAAAGACGGCGGGAGGAGAAGCAGGGAGAACGGAGTGAGGTGACGGAGGAGAAAAGGAGGGAGGAGGACACAGTGAGGAGGAAGAAGGGCGGATAAACATTGTTTGGTGATGATCCTGGAGGTGTTCAGCGGTCTCTGGTAGTTCCTCAGGTCGCGGAAGTTGCCAGAGGCGGTGAGGGAGGAGAAGGGAGGAGAACGAAGAGAGGTGGGGAAGGAGGTAGAAGGCAAGAGGGAGGTTGACGTAGGGACAAGGAGAAACTGGGGGAGGGAAAAAAGGGTCGCATTTGTGCATACGATGGAAAAGTCAAGGTCGGGGTCCGCACTGAAGGAACACATGGGAGGGGGACAGTGTATAAGTTGCAACTGGAAGGGGCTGGAATATTCTCGGCGAAGGAAGACACAGAGAGAAAATGGGTTCTGGGAGGAAGACGGGGGTGGAGGAAGCGGCGGTGCTGGGGCAGAAGACGGAGCAAGAGGGATCGGGAGCATGTGGATGGAGCGGAGACGAAGGGAGATGGATAGGGGACGGGGTTGTGAAGGTGACGGTCGACGGGAATAGGGAAAGGCGCAGCCGCTCCGCGTCCAGCCCCCCTGCGACACCTCCAGGGGGGGGGCGCCTGTTGGGGCTGGCAGCTGGCAAAGTTCCCCGCGCTCCCAGGACAGGAAAGGACGATGCCACCCCGGTGTCGATATCCATGTGCGCGAGAATGCGCGCGCTCATGCTCGCCCCCCTCCGCCTTGCACGTCCCCAACAAGACGACAGGGGTCCTCGCCGATCACGGAGCTGCCCACGCGGAGGCACCGGCGGAGCTGCGCCAGGCGTCTGCAGCTAAAGCAGCAGCGGATGCGGCGAAGAACGCCTTCACCCCCACGAGTTCAGGAGGGTGACTCGCCATCGCTCGGACGTTCATTCCATGTGTTTTTTTCGGATTTCGTGCGTGGTTTTTCCGCCAAATGATCAAGGATGCTCCTCGATGGTCCTCGCCGAAGGAGAAATGCACACGTCCGAGCGATGCCAAGGTGAAGGAGCAGGAGATCGTGGAGCTCGGAGATCACAACACCGCAGACATCACGCCCGGAGCTCCGGACCGCACTCTGTTGCGTCATGGTTCGGGCCCGGTCGATCTGTGGGGATATCCTGGGAACCGACATGCCCAGACTCCCGACGTCTTGATTTTTTCATGACGTCGACCCCCAGAATCGCGGATCTTCTGACCCGGGTCAATCCAGACCCAGGTCAGCAGGAAACCAAAAACTGAAATGCAGGAAAAAAAACTGCAACGCAGGTCCTCGCAAACCCGTGTCAGCCAATACGCGCGGCCGCTTCGCAGCCACGAGCGGCTCGCTGACCCGGATCAGCCAGAGGGTGTCGTCGCAGGATCCTGCAGGATCTGGCGCCCTGGCTGACCCCCGTTTGCATTGACCCCCGTCTCGAGGCTCCCGACAGAAGTCTCGACCCATCCCAGAGGACCGGTTTTTCGTCCCGAGTCGTTTGTTCACGGTCCCGAGGCCGGGTCAGGGCCTGCAGAGGCCGAAATCAGAGAAGAACTCCCCGTCTTGAGTTGTCATGACTCGAGGTGGCCCGACAGTGAGCGCAAGCGCCCGCTGCGAAACGATTGCAGCGCCAGGATCTCGGGGAGCAGCGGCTGCAGCCATGTCCCCCTACAGGGGGATTTTCAAGGACAAATGAAGAAACAAACAAACAATCAATCCAGCTAGTTGGAAAAGTGCACCAAACAATGATAGAACAAATCGTCCCCATCATATTATTTGACTATGTTTGAATATCCCTCCTGTAGAGTTATGTTGCCCCCATCGCACTTACAGACCACATCCCAGAAATAATTTCGAGCACCCGGACAAGTGTCGAAAGAGTGCCGAAACGGTGTCGGATCAGTGTCGGACGAGTTTCTCCCAGGGCCCGGCGCGTGAAGACCCTCCAGTCTCGGCACTTTCCTGGGAGCTCGAAGTTCTTTCTGGCGGTCAAGACTAAAGTAGGCTGGAGCATCACAACTGATGGGCCTGTTTTCCACCACCACCACCATACGTTGGAGGGGGGAAGGAGGAGGAGGAGGAGGAGGAGGAGGAGGAGGAAGGAGGAGGAGGAATAGGAGGACCCTCTCCCTCTCCAAGGTATGGTGGTGGTGGTGGAAAGCAGGCCCATCAACAACTGTCGAGGGGCATGCCCGGCTCGGGAGCCCCGCGCGGCCGCGCGGGGCCGCCGCGGAGGCGCAGGGCGTCGCGCCGCGGCGGCAGGGCGCCCGTGCAGCTCCGCGGCCGTCGCCGCGTCTCGGCCGACGCCCGGGCGGCCCCCCCGCGCGGGGGGGCCGCCCAGATTGAAGGGGAACTGGGACACACAAATAAATAGACACAAATAAAAATATTCCCCATATTTTCATATATTTTCTGGGTTTCTGTCTTCCCCCCCATTTCCCATATTTTCCCATATTTTCTGGGAATCGACGATTAACTGTGTCTGTGTGTTTCTTTTCCTCCTGACAGATGATGGGCCTGCTTTCCACCACCACCTCCATGCGTTGGATGGGGAGGGGGTCCTTCTCCTCCTCCTTCTCCTCCTCCTCGTCCTCCTCCTCCTCCTCCTCCTCCTCGTCCGCCTCCTCCTCGTCCTCCTCCTCCCTCCCCCCTCCAACTCGTGGTGGCGGCGGTGGAAAACAGGCCCATCACAAGAGGGGGAGGGGTTGGCGGCGCGCACTTGGCGGTGGAGGGAGGGGGGAGGGCTTCTTAGAAGGAGGCTGGTTCTTAGAAGGCTCCTACATTACATCTATACATAAGGCCCGCGCCTTCTAAGAAGCAGGGGTGCTTCTAAGAAGCCCCCCCCTCCCCCCACCCCGCTCTACGCGTGGCTGCAGGGGAGCGTCTAAGAGGGGGGGACGCAAATCATGGCCAGCGGCACGTGCGCGGCCCAGCAGTGGGCCAAGGAACGCATTGAAGCAAGAGGAGGGGCCATGACATCTGGGCAGACATCATGGCCCCCGCCATGAGATCCCCCCCCAGTCCTCACCCCCCTTCTTGGCCGCCCCCGAGCCGCCAGCCCCTCTGCGCCGGCGGGCGGTGCTGGCAGCGGCCCCTTGTGCTGCTCCCCAAGACCCCCCTGGAGCCATGACAAAATCGCGACGAAAGATTCGTCGCCATGTTCGGCCTCTGGGGGCCCTCACCGGGGCTCGGGGCTGTGAACAAACGACGTCGCCCGCGGAGTGCCACTCTATGCAGTAGCGGAGCCACCCGCGCCGCGTCATCCACAGTGCCCCTCCATCCCGTCGCGCCGCGTTGCCAACGGTGCCATTGACTGCACCTGCTTGGAGGCCCGCCTGCATGAATGTGGCGACAACCACTTGGAGGCCCTCCCAGCACACACACACACACACACACACTACCATCGACCTGGAGCAGTGCGGAACCGTGCCCACATCCAGCGACAGGCGCGGCAGCGCTCTGCACCGACTCATATGGACACCGCCAGCGACGCTGGCAGCGAAGCGGGCGACATCGCCGAGCGCGAAGAGCTTGCTGGATTCAAAAAGCGCTGCTGAACTCGGCCTCGATGCAACGGAGGCCGACCGCTACCAGTCCTTGGCCGCGTAGCTGGTGGAGGTGCGCGCCGCCAAGCGGCCGAAGCGGTCTGAAGCCCAGTCTCATGAGCCGCCCAACAGCCTGTTCCAATTACCGCTGCCCCCGCCGCGGGCACGGCCCCTGCCCTGCCGGCGGGTCGCAGCCTCCTGAAGCGAGGACCTTGCCCCAGCTAGGGTGGCGGATGCATGTGCGCGTGTCCTGTGAAAGTCTGTCATGTCTTAACGAGGCAATCCAAGGTTGCCCAAGACTGCTTAGCTGTTGCGGCTGCTGTAGCTGATGGGGCACTCCTGGCAGAACATCGTCTACGCGCTGGTGCAGAAGCGCTCCGAGCAAAGAAATTGTGCCGACAGCTGCGCGGGTCATCTCACTTCCAAACTGCACATGCCTCTACCGATGGGGGGACTCACAGCGGCGTCTGCGCGGCCGTCCAAACGGGTTTGCGCATTCGGAAGTGATTGATCCAGACTGGCAAGGTTGTCCAAATCGGCTCTGGGAAGTGTTGGTTGTTCCTGGAGACGGGATTGAAGGCCTGTAATATAACCGTGGGGGTTGTGTACTTGGTTGATCCGGCTGGAGCTTCTGGCAGGAAAGTGTGTCGCCTCCGTGCTATCGCAGAGTCTGTGCTAGCACTGCCGTGCACACTGCCTCCCATATTCTCCCTCGTGCTGCTGCTGCTGCAGCTGGTGCTGCCCCGTGGGCTCGCGTGCTCCCCCCGTTGCCGCCCGCTGTGGGCGTTGTGCCGCCGCCTGAGCAGAACGCCTGGTCTCGGGAACACCTTGAGGAGCAGCAGAGTGTGGTTCGCGGGAAATGGGGCCTGGACGGCTCTGGAGGTAACCACGCTCTCGATCATCGCATGCGTCGCCGCGGAAGGTCCACTGTCCGTGAGGGGGGACCTCGAGATGGGAAAAAAACGACTCGGTGCTGTGGCCTGCGGCAGCCTCCCGACACATGAACAGTTGAGTCTGCGTGCCGAGCGGTTGGCCTTCCTAGCAGTCGTGAATCATACCCGTGACGATGTTGTGTAGTGTAATGGCCACTTACCTGTCTGCCGAGAGATGCACAAGTCGCGGGCTCATATGTCTCAACAGTCCCTGATGCTGGATCTTTGGACCCAGATCTGGTCTGCGATCGATCGGCGTGGCCCTGGCAAGATAACTGCTCTGTGGACTGGATCGCACGCTAGTGCATGTATGCAAGAGAATCTCAACATTGCAGATTGCTTGTAATTAGATTGCGAAGTGTTTCGCGGGATAGGCCGAAGAAACCTGTGGTATGCCCGGATACGTTTCTAAGGGCGGGACGCCGTATTTTGTAGACTTCTGGAAGGTTCCATGGAGGTTGCCACGGTGTACGTGGCTAACAAGGTCGGCCGTGCCCCGCCTAGGCCCCGATCCCTCTCCTTTTTTGTACCCGCCAAGAGCGCCTCCGTGCTGCTGGCCATTCTTGAAAGAACAAAGAGGGGGGCGCTCGTAAGTGTGAAATGTGTGGTCGGCCTTTTCCCCTGAACGGTCTCTTAAGGCGGTTTCTCCCTGGGCCGTGTTGTGGTACACGTGTGTTGGCCAAAGAGACCCGGCCCGGTAACCCCTTGTATCACAAGGCACACGCCTCGCATCAATTTGGTGTGATGCGCGGCGCCCTGTTCTGTAAGCATTGGGGGTGCAATGGCGCCGTGAGCGCAGTGAATTTTAGCAAAGGGCGCCCACCTAGTCCGACAAGGACTGGGATCGAGGTTCCGAAGAGCCGTGAGAAAGGGATTTCCGCCCAGAGCGGAGTGCCCTTGTCGAGGTGATTGCTCGTCGTGCCTAGGCTTGACCTGGTCCCAACGGCCCTGCCACCACCACCACTGCCACTATCCATCGTCCTCTTCCTCCTCCTCCTCCTCCTCTTCCTCCCCTTCCTCCTCCCGATCGGTGCCTCATAGTATACCTGCCCGATGTTCATTTCATCCTCCGTCGTGTTCCACTTCGTCCTTCTCCTCCTCCTCCTCATCAACGTCACCCACCGCCCTCCTCCGTACTCATCAACGTCACTGCTCATCATCATGATCCTGATCATCCTCCCCGGTGCATGTTTGTTTTTCTCATCGCTCTGTTCAACAGTGCACGTGTTCTCTCCGCCCGGAGGGCCCCAGAACCCCCTGCGAGATGCCTGGTCCTATCTTGCCCTACATGCCTGCTGCAGTAGACTATTGACAAGCGCGTGCAAAAACAATTCAGATGTGAAGCTACCGTCCGACACCCGAATCGGCGAACATAACCGTATTCAGGGCTATGGGAACGGATGCTTCCGATGGGCAGTGTGTCCGATGCGGCGCGAGCTTGCGTACGCTTGTCTCTCTGTATTCATTCACCTCACTTCCTCCTCTCTCCTCCAATCGCCTCCTCGTCCTACTCACCTCCCAACTCTCGCGTATCTCCTCCAACTTCTCCCCTGCCCTCCCCACCATCCTCACTCACGCCCCATTCTCATCATTCTCCTCCTCACACTCCGCTGCAAGCCCACAGTTTTCCCCAGACCTCGTCTTCTCTCTTCTCCACATCTCCATCGCCTCCTCCTCCTCCTCCTCCTTCCCCTCCTCCTCCTCCACCCTTTCCTTCTCCTCCTCCTCCTCCTCCTCCTCCTCCTCCTCCTCCTCGTTCTCCTCCTTCTCCTCCTCCTCCTCCTCCTCCTCCTCTTCCTCCTCCTCCTCATCCATTCTCCCTCCTCCTCCTCCCCCTCCTCCTCCCCCTCCTCCTCACCCTTCTCCTGCTCATCCTCGTTCCCGCCCCCCTCCACGAAGACGACGCGGCCCACGCCGACAACGACGCCGCAGACGCCACCGCCAGCATGGCGCGGCACATGCTCGTGTGGCCAGACGCTCCGGGGCGAACCTCCCCCTGGGAATTCTCCGAGGAGCCGCGGCTGGTCATCGGCCCGAACATGGCCCCAAGGAGGGGCTCCAAGAGGGCACGGAGGGCGTCTAGTGCGAGGACGAGGACGAGGGAGGGGAGGAGCCAGAGGAGAAGGGATCGAAGGAGGAGGGGGAGGAGGCGGAGGAGGAGGAGGCGGAGGAGGAGGAGGAGGGGAGGAGAGTGACGCTCAGCGGAAACGACACTACCCACGCCGACGCCGACGCCACGGACGCAGCCGCCAGAGACAGCGGCATCACAGCGCCGCGCGCGGCGACCGCGACGGCCGACCGACGACGGCGAGACGACGGCCGATGCCAGGCACCGCGGCGGCGAGTCCTTGGCTGCGCCGCGGTGCATCGCCATCGCCTGTGGCGCGCGGGGGGCTCCGCTCCTCCTCCTCCTCCTCCTCCTCCTCCTCCTCCTCCTTCTCCTCCTCCTCCTCCTCTGGGGCACCGCTCGTGTCTCGACTGCTGGCGGCGTGTCCAGAGAGAAAGGCTGAATGGGGGTGGGCCTCCTCCGAGGGCCCAGAAGATCTCTGGCCTTCTGAGCAACTGCCTCAGGCTTCTCCCGACGCCTCGGAGGCTTGTGCAGAAGACCGGAGTGCTCTGGAGCAGCTCCGCCTCACTCTCAGAAGGCCTGCCCTCTTCTCAGCTTCGCCGTCGGCGAGCCGCCGTGCACTGTCGTAGGAGAACAGATTAACGGAAGAACGCAGCACACGTGACCGAGAGCAACGAGAATGCGAGAGGCAAACACTACCCCGCGCCCCGTGCTGCTGCTGGAAGGGGGAAACTTGTTGGTATCTGCTGCTGGTCAATTCTCATAAAAAAGGTTTGGACCAGCGGGGAGAGGGGGTGATGAGGGGTCGGGAGTGGAAAGGTGGGAATTGGGAGGCGGATGCAGCAGGGGGGGGGAGTGGAGGTGGAGAAGGAGAAGTGGGATGAGGACGAGGGGGGGGGGAGGTGGAGGTGCAGGAGGGGGGAGTGAGGTGTGAGGACGAGGGGGTGCACTGAAGTGCTGGAAGGGGCCACACGCTTGGCGTGGCTCCTAGAGTACAAAGCAGCAGCGGGTAGATGCAAGGCGTGGTGGGGTCAGTGGGTGGAAGGGCGGAGGGGCGAAGAGTGGAGGGGAACAGGTAAAGAGTCGGGAGGGTAGGTGAAAGACATTGGGGGGCACGTAGTGGAAGCGAGGACGGAGACGAGGTGGAGGGGGAGAGGAGAGGAGAAGGCGAAATGGGAGAACCCCGGGGGGGGTGCTTGAAGTTGGAGTTGCAGAGTGTCTGCTTACCAGCCTGGAACATAACCCTATGCTGGGCACCTCCTCATCACGATGCCAATCTTAGGGGTTCCCTTACTTTTTGAGGGCGAATCCCTGAGATTGTCATCGCCGGTTGGCGTGTCAATCTTAGGGATAGGGATACGTTCGAGGCTGGTAATCTGCTCCCTCTTCCTCCCCATCCTCCCGTCGCACCACGAAGAGCGCCCACCGGCCAGCGAATGCTAGCCCTCCCCCCCCCCTCCCTCCACGTGCGCTGCGGCACTCGAAGGGCACTCGGGGGCAGGGCGTGGCCCCAGGCCACGCGCGAAGCTGCCGAGGGAGGCCCACGTGGTCCGGCGCTTGCCCGGAGCGGCCAGCAGCGCAGAGCTGAGGAGGAGGAGGAGGAGGGAGGAGGAGGAGGAGGAGGAGGAGGAGGAGGAGGAGGAGGAGGAGGAGGAGGAGGAGGAGGAGGAGGAGGAGGAGGGCGGAGAGAGGAGGAGGAGGAGGGAGGGGGTGAGGAGGAGGAGGAGGAGGAGGAGGAGGATGAGGAGGAGGAGGAGGAGGGAGGACCCAAGGTCCGGAACTGTGGCTTCGCGCGCCGCCGCGGCGGCCACGGCGGCTCGCCGTGCCGTGCCGGCGGGGCAGCGCGTCGCTCCGCTCCGTGGGGCGTCGGGTTACCAGCCTCGAACGTACCCCGATCCCTAAGATTGACACGCCAAAAGGCGATGACAATCTTAGGGATTCGCCCTCAAAAAGTAAGGGGAATCCCTGATATTGGCATCGTGATGGGGAGATGCCCAGCATAGGGATAGGGATATGTTCCAGGCTGGTAATCGGGGGGGGGGTAGAGGCTCGGGAGGTTGGCGCTGCAGGGCGGGGGCACGAAAAGCGTGCAGCATCAGAGCGTGCTAGAGCCGGACCTGGGCCAGAAGAGCGTCCCTCTCTAGAGCATGAGTAATAAAAGGGGCCCAGGGACACACATAAGTAAACAGACCCCTAGCACAGGATTCCCCATATTTGCCCATACTATACGGGTTTCTGTCTTCCCGTCCACTTCCCAAAGTTTCGCATATTTTCCTGGGCATCGTTGATCCATGGTGTCTGCGTTTCTTTCCCTCCTGAAGGAGACCCTCTGTCGGCAAAAAAGAAAACCTGACATCCAAGGGTACCCTCCCCAGGATGCACAAGAACACCCAACAAACACGAAGAACACCAGGGTACCCTCCCCCCGAGCCGACCTCGCTCTTAGACCTCGGTCCGAGTGCAAGCCATGAGCGGCAGCGCGACACGCTAAGCCGCCGTTCCCGACCGTGTTCGGTGGCAACACACGGCAACCTCCCATGCCATCTTGCCGGCTCTTGCGAATCGACGCGCGTCGAGGAAGCGGACCTACGCTGAAGACGGAATGGAAAGCGTATACCGTATACCAGGCTCCCATGATTTGCCACCGAGGCCGTGATCTCCCCGAGGGAGGGGGAGGGAGAAGGGGGAAGCAGGAGAAGGCTTGACCCCCCCGCAAGACGGAGGCGACACAGATGGGGCAGGGCCACACGAGGATCTGCGCAGGGAGAGTCCGTGGGAGCCCGCGGGCCGCGACCGGAGGAGATGCGTCGGGCGCCGAAGCGTCGCTCCCGAGGCGTTCCAGCGAGCTTTCCCAGGCATGCTCGCGTCGTGGAGCAAGAATCAGGGCGGCAAGTTTTCGACTATGCTCGACCCTCGGGGGACCTCGCCGGGCCCCAAGGCCGTCAAGAAACGACTCAGGATGAGAAACCGGTCCCGGGGGAAGGGTGGGGGCTTCCAGGGGCGCCGTCCTGAGAAAATGAGGACGTCGCATGTCTGGGTTGTCCTCCACCTAGGCTTAGGTCGGGCATGTCCACGTCGTTCATGTCTAATCGTGCTCATTCCTAATTGTGCTCGTTTCTAATTGTTCCTGGACCCCTGGTGGCCAGGAAGAGGCCCAGGATAGAACACGCAGAAATGAAAGCATTTTGGCCCCCCAGAACATAAAAGAACTTTCGAATAATGAAAGATGAACAATGAGTCCTCCTACAGACGGAGTTCCGACGAAAAAATAGCAACATACATGCTGAAGAATAGGCACAAATAATCAACAAAAAATCGTTCCCAGGCTATTTTGTCGACAATCTTTGAATATTCCTCCTGTAGAGGGACATGCCCAACTGAAACCTAGACCCTCCCGCTGAGAAGGCTTTTTGGAGGAAGGCCAGTTCCGGGGAGACGTGAGACTCGGGTACGGGGGACTCGGGTTGGCCTGACGGGGCCATCATGAGACTGACGAGACCCAATCTGAAAAATTTGACGCGAGCTCTCGCTGCAGGCATCACACGAAGGCTGGACAGTCACACTCCAGGGCCCGGCTCGTCAAGGAGCGAAGGCGAACCCGAGTACCAGCGTACTCGGTCTTACGTTAACCCGAACAAATGAGCGACGATCAAAACGGGCCTTACGCGACATGGCGCAGCGACCTCACGCGGTGCCTCACGCGGGCCGCCCGCGCGGCACGCCACACGTGGAGCGGGGGCGCTTGCGCGAGACCTCACGCGGGCAGCTTAGGCGCCAATGCCGGCGAAGACGACCCCGCTTCTTCTGGCATCGCTCCACTGGGGCAGCGGCGGCACTCCCGCCCGGCCCAACTAGGGGGGAAACAAACCTACCTCGCTTTTGACCACCCTCGCTTCCAAGAGATACCAAACGAGGCCAAACTACATACGGCCTGTACTGGTCAGGCCGCTCGACAAGGAGGCGCGTGGTATGACCTGGTTTTGCCTGGAAGCGAAAGCGGGGTAGGTAATTCCCGCCCTGACCAGCGCCTCCCAAGTGGCCAGGTCCGACATGCTCTGTCGAGGCGGATCCAGCCATGCCGACGAGAAGCCTCCAGGGGCGGCCCCGAGGAAAACCGGGGACAACAACACGCCGGGGAGAGGCCCGCCGGCTGCCTCGGCCAGCCCTATCATCCGAGCTCTGCGGAGGCCTCCCAAGTGGGGTCCGAGTACCGTCAAGCCCGTGTCATTGGGATGCGCGGTAGGGATGCAAGGGCCTTGAGAGGCCCATGTGAACGCTGTTCGAGCGAGGGTGGCCAACCTCAGCGCGCAGGCCGCAGCCACCGTATCGCTCCGCGCTCAGCGATCGGGGGGCCCCCTGGGGCCCGCACCAGAGGTCACTTCGGGGAGAGGCCGCTCTTTTACACGTAGTCGGAACTGGGAAGCCTGGATTCTGGCCTCAGGTCGGGCATGTCCCCCTAGAGCCGGATTTTTGGACGAAAAATAAGCAGCAGTCAAAAAATCAAAGCTTGCCAAAAACTGGTAGAACAAATCCTCCGCAGACTACTCTGAATATGCCCTCCTCTAGAGGGACATGCCCGACTTACGTGTGGTCGACGCCCAGGGAGGCCTGGATTCTGTCGGGAGCGGTCAAGAGGGGAGTGTCCAAGAGGGGGGGGGGTGCAAATCATGACCGGCGGCATGTGCGCGGCCCAGCGGGGGGCCAGGGACGTAATGAAACAAGACGAGGCGCCATGAAATCTGGGGAAATAGCCCACGCAATGATCTCCCCCCCCCCCCCTAGTCATCACCTCCCTCTTTCCCGCCCCCGATTCTGGCCCCCCCGGCCGCCTCCAGCGCCAGCCGGTCCTTCCAGGGCACCCGCGACCAGTCGAAGGACCAGTCCTTCCTGCGGTACTGGGGGTCCTCCGCATCCGCGCGGCCCCCGGCGGGCCTCCCCTGGGCGGGCGCGCCCCGCCGACCGGGCGGCTGCAGGGAGGAGGGGAGGGGTGGTGCCGAGGGGGAGGGGGGCCTGCTCCCTCCCACCCCACCCACGGGAGGAGGGGGGGAGGAGAAGGGAGGAGGCGGGAGGAGGAGGAGGCAGGAAAAGGAGAAGCAGGGAGCAGAGAGGAGGAGGAGTACGAGGAGGAGGGGGGAGGCGGGAGAAGGACAGGGGCAGGAGGTAGGAGGAGGGAGGAAGAAGGAAGGGGTAGGTAGGAGGAAGAAGAAGGCAGCAGGCAGGAGGAGGTGGTGGCGTCAGCCTTTCGGGATACCTCTCGAAGAGGTCGTCCCGGTCCGCGCAGTGGGCGCCTCTCCGCCGAACGACGCGCCCCCTCAGGACAACGACGCCGACGACGACGACAACGACGACGACGACGGCGGCGGCGGTCCTCCTCCTCCTCCACCTCCTCCTCCTCCTCCTCCTCCTCCTCCTCCTGCCTCCAACGCATCCTCCTCGCTCCTCCTTGCCTCCTCCTGCCTCTCCTCCTCATCCTCATCTTCCTTTAGCCTTTCAGCGCCCTTGCTCCTCGTCCTCCTCCTCCTCCTCCTCCTTCCTCCTCCTCCAACGGCATTCCTCCTCCTCCTCCTCCTCCTCCTCCTCTCCTCCTCCATCCTCCTCCTCCTCCTCCCCTCCGCCCTCCCCCTCTCACTCCCCTCCCCCCTCCTCCTTCCCTTCTCAGCCTCATCTTCCTCTTGAAGCCGTTCAGAGCCTGCTCCCCTTCCTCCCTCCTCCTCCTCCTCGCTCCTCCTCCTCCTCCTGCTCTCCTCCTCTCCGCCTCCTCCTCCTCTCCTCCTCCTCCTCGTCCTCCACCTTCTTCCTCCAACTCCTCCTCCTCCTCCTCCTCCTCCTCCTCTCTCATCATCATCATCATCCTCCTCCCTCCTGCTCCTGCTCCTCCTCCTCCTCAGCCTCATCTTCCTTTCAACGTTCCAGCGCCTGCTCCCTCCTCTTCCTCCTCCTCCTCCTCCTCCTCCTCCTCCTCCTCCTTCTCTTCCTTCTCCTCCTCCTCCTCATCATCATCATCATTATTCTCCTCGTTCTCCTCCTCCTGCTCCCCTTCCTCCTCCCCCGCGGCGGCGAAGCGACGCACCGCGGCGCGCCTGCGTGCGCGGCCCGCGGCGCCTCCGGGATCGACGAGGGCGGCCGGCAGTCCGCGCTCTGGCCGCCCCCCATCGGGCGGGCGCGCAAGGGGCGGCCAGGCCAGGCTTGCTGGCGGCCCTGGCGCAGCGGGTGCGCACGATGCAGATGGTCCTCCTGCGCAGGGCCTGTCTTCCTCCTCCTCCCCGTCATCCTTCCCCTCCGCCTCCTCCTCCTCCTCCTCGTCCTCCTCCTCCTCCTCGTCCTCCTCCTCGCCCCTCCTCCTCCTCCTCCTCCTCCTCCTCCTCCTCCTCCTCCTCCTCCTCCTCCTCCTCGTGTTGTGGGTGAGGGGGCTCCTCCTCGTGCAGCCACCCCTGGATGCGGGCCCTCCCTGCTTGTGCCAGAGAGGGTGGCTCGAAGTTGCGCTTGTCGCTTTCCGGGTGCCATCTGGCTCGCAGGGGGTCTGTTCCCCCTGCTCGCGGGATGCGAGGGAGCATGCATTAATGTTCCACGTTTGCCTCCTCCTCCTCCTCCTCCTCCTCACAGACCTCGGCGTACACAATTTCGGCGAGGAGCCTGGGGACACACAGAGGGGCCCTCCAAGGAGCGTCGTGAGCTTCTCCCTCGGGGAACTCGGCGTGCACAACTTCGGCGAGGAGCCTGGGGGCACACAGAGGGGCCCCCCAAGGAGCGTCGTGAGCTTCTTCCTCCTGGGCCTCGTCGTGCACAACCTCGGCGAGGAGCCTGGGGACACACAGAGGGGCGCCCCAAAGAGCGTCGTGAGCTTCTTCCTCAGGGACCTCGGCGTGCACAACCTCGGCGAGGAGCCTGGAAGCACACAGAGGGGCCCTCCAAGGAGCGTCGTGAGCTTCTTCCTCGGGGGCCTTGGCGTGCGCAACTTCGGCGAGGAGCCTGGGGGCACCCAGAGGGGCGCCCCAGGAAGCGGCGCGAGCTTCTTCCTCGGGGGCCTTGGCGTGCACAACCTCGGCGAGGAGCCGGACATACTTCTTGCTGGCGGCACACACGAGGGGGCAGCGCACACCAAGGGGTGGCGCACGGCGAGCGGCGCCCCGAGGCGTCCGAAGGAGCCCCCTTCCAAGCTGGGAGGGATTCCAGTCGTCGTCGTCGTCGTCGTCTTCGTCGTCGTCGTCGTCGTCGTCGTCTTCGTCGTCGTCGTCGTCGTCGTCGTCGTAGAGTGGAACGCGTCTCCCCCACCCGTCCTTCTGCACCCTGCCCTTCCTGTGCGCTAGCACGTGACAGTATGACGCCCTAATATGTGCACATCCGTTTCTTTGCGGGCATTGTGATTTGCGGGCAACGAGAGACCAAAATAGAACTCGTTCCCCCGTCCCCCGCCCTCCGTCCTGCGCGCATGCGCATCTTGGCAACACCATGGAATCTGGCGCCCCCGTTCTGCGCCCATTTCCCCCTCCTTGTGATCTGGCACCTACATTCCGGCGAGGTTCGCGCGCTGACATCATACATTGGCGCTTTTGGACACCCTGAACCCAAAAACCTTTTCATATCTTGGGAACGCAATTTCTACTTCCGACGCCTTCCGCCGAGCTTCCGCCGGCTTCCGCCAACGGGGCGGCCTCGTTCTACTTCCGCCGACCTTCCGCCGCTCTTCCGCCGCGCAGGAGATGACAGCGCCTTCGATCCTCGAGGGCAAGGCCCTTTTTGGAGCGCCTCCTGTGTGCATATTCGTTTCCCAGGCATCGCGGAGCAAGCGTGCCGCCAGCACTCTGGCGCCACCGCTGCATGTACCCGTGCCTCTCTGGAGGGTGCCGCCGCCCTGGCCGGTTGTCGGCGCCCGCCCGTCCGCCCTGCGCGCCCCACTCCCCCATTCCTTCACTGCGCGCTCGCCTTGTGGATGCCATGACTATGAACACCCGAGCAAACCGATCATTGAACTGACGATGTGTTTATAAAGTATGGGAAGATGCTCTAAACATGCTTCAACATGTTTTATATGCTTAGGACATGGTTAAAGCATGCGCTCACCATCTGGGAAATACGTGGCGGCAGGCGTTCTATCCATCGATCGTCGTCCACAACGCCTGCCTTGCTGCGCGAGGAGAGACTCCCTCGGGCTCCAGGCAGGCCCATCACTCCGAGCTCGTGATCATGTTCGCAACGCTATTTGGGCGCCCGAGTTACCCCTGATGATTCGGGGCTCTGGACGCCCGAGTTATCCGGGGTAACTCGGGTCCGGGGTAACTCGGGTTCGGATTCCCGAAAAACGAACCCGAGTTATCCCTGACCCGAGTTACCCCTGATGATTCGGGGCTCTGAGCTATACTCGGGTCGCCCTGAGAGAACTACGTGAGCGACGACAAGCAACGGCACCCACGCGAGACGGCACAGCGACCTTACTCGCGGTGGCTTACGCAGGCCGCCAGCGCGGAATGCTACATTGGAGACGAGGGCGCTCACGCGCGACCTTGCGCGGGCAGCTCACGCGCAGATGTCCGCGCAGTCGAACCGGTTGATTGCTGAGGACTTTGGGGAGCAAGTTCCGCCTCCCCAAAACACGCAATTCCCGTTTTTTTCCTTGCGCCGCCTGCTCTGCTACGCGGAAGGGGAGCTTCCCTCCGGCTCCTGGGAGACCCAGACATCAGAGAGCGCTCTCGTGCTTTTTTGGCTGGCACTGGTGGCTCCCAGTTTGGTCAGCCCAAAAGGGGGTCCAGCTGCAAGGGGGTGGTGCAACAGGTTTGGGGCAAGTATGTTGCAAAATCACTACGCCAGAATATTGTATTGCATTGTATTGCATCTAATGCATTGCACGCCAAAGCCCAGCAATACATTTGCGCACCGGGATGTACTGCACGTCCCAAACCGATGGCAACCCCACAACTCTATGGCACCAGATCTATTGCAACACCCCCTTTTCTCTGGACCCCCTGCTGGGTCAACGAGACCGTTGCCCAAGACCGACATATTCATCCAGAGCCGTCTTCGACGGTCCTGGCCAACAACAGGGTGGGACTGGCTCAGGGGGCGAACATCAACCTGGAGGCTCTGTGGGCCCCGGAAACGGCAGGGCCGTTGTTTCACCGCTGCCGACAAACTAATTTCTTGGACATGGGCAGCGGGAAAAAAACAGCGACCCGAAACGGCAAACAGAAACGGCTTCTGGCTGGATTTCGGAGCCGAGACCGGAGAACAAAAAAACGGCGACGGAACCGGCGACACAAATGGCGTCGGAAGTGGACACAAAAACGGCAAAACGGGAACCGGGAGCAAAAAAGGCCCTGTCGCTTGGAGAGCCCACTAAGGTCTTGAGGAATCGGCGGTGCACCGCCGATGCATCGGCGATAGGCTTAGGTCGGGCATGTCCTCCTACAGGCGGATTTTGGCAGCAAAAACATAAGCAACAAATACCCAAAAACGGTCAACAACATAAAATAAAACATCGTCCCCAGACTATGTTTCGACTCTTTCTGAAGCTTTCTCCTGTATAGAGGGACGTGCCCGACTTAGCGATAGGCCACCGACAGCGGCACCGCACGCTCCTGGGCGGCCTCCTCCTCCTCCTCCTTCTCCTCCTCCTCCTCCTCCTCCTTCTGTTCCTCCTCCTCCTCCCTCCTCCTCCTCCTCCTCCTCCTCCTCCTCCTCCTCCCCCCTCCCCCTCCTCCTCCCCCTCCCCCTCCTCCTCCCCCTCCTCCGCCTCCTCCTCCTCCTCTTCCTCCACGTCCTCCTCCTCCTCCTCCTCCTCCTCCTCCTTCTCCTCCTCCTGCTCCTGGGCGGGCTGCAGCGTGGGGCCCTGGTCGGCAACAAGTGGGCGGTCGTCGGGGGCTGGTGCGCCCCACCCCCGCCCGCGTTGTTTTCCACCCCACCACTATGAGTTGGAAGGGGGGAAGGAGGAGGAGGAGGACGAGGAGGAGGAGGAGGAGGAGGAGGACCTCCTCCCCCTCCAACTTATGGTGGTGATGGAAAACAGGCCCATCACGGATGCCACTTCCTGAGCCCCAGGCCCCGCCGAGTCACGAACAAATCACGACTGGGATTTTTTCGCGATTTTCGGACTCCGGGGGCCCTTACTGGGCCACGGGGCCGTGAGAAGAGGACTCGGGATGAGAAGCTGGTCCCTGGGAGTGGGTCGAGACCTTCGTGGGGGTTGACGCCATGAAAAAATCATGACGTCGTTGTTCTGTGACCGCACCCCTCCGAGCTAGTCCCGCCTCCTAACCCCCAACGTCCTTATTTTGTTCATGACGTCGACCCCTAGGCATCTCGACCCCATCCCTGGGACCCGCCGTGTTCAACCCGGGGCCGTTTCTGGACAGCCCCGAAGCCCACTGAGGGCCCCCCGAGGCTGGAAATGGTGCAAACCGCCCGTTGCCGCGACTTTTGTCATGGATCGATGGGGGTCCAGGAACGTGGACCCTGAGAGCCCCATCCCTCCACCATCGTCCTCCTGCCACGCGGCCCATCGTCCTCCTCCCCCATCGTCCTCCTCCACCCCCCCCGTCGGGGATGGGGCCAACGCGAGCCAGGTCGGGGCACGGCGGCGGGGGAGCTCCAGCCCCGCCGGATAGTCCCAGATCTTCACCGGTGGCCTGAGGCGGAGGAGCCGGAGAGGAGCAGGCTACTCCTCCTGCTTCGCTCCTCCTTGCTCCTCCTGCCTCGTACCTCCCCCCCTCCTCCCTCGCACCCTCTCCCCACACTCCCATCCTCCCATCTCCTCCGTCCCGCCGCCTGCCTTCTCCCCCTGCCTCCCTCCCTCCGAGGCGCGGCGAGCGGAGGAGAGGGAGGAGGGCCGCCCAGAGGGGAGGCCGGTCGGCGGACGGACCATGGCGGACAGCCGCCACGACGGACCGGATGGGCTCATGGTTTTGGGGCATGTCTGCAGCCTTCCTGGTGCCACTCGATACCTGGTGCACCCAGACGGAGCACGACCGGCGATCGATGCATGGGGGCGTCGATACCCAGCGACAGCTGGTGCACCCAGAGGGGCCCGCAGCGGTGACGTTTCGCAAGCGGTCGCAGAGAGGCAGGGAGGGAGGGAGGAGAGGGGAGGGGAGGGCAACTTCGGTGGGCTCGCGCCTGATCCGACCTCCTATCCCTCGCTCGCATCCTTCCGCTGCCGCTGATCTTCTCTATCCGCGGACGCACGTCTTGGCAGACCTGAGGCTCCCATAGAGAGGCCACTTCGTGCTGCGCGCGATCGGAACAAGGGGAGCTGCGTGCACAGGAGGAGGAGGAGGAGGAGGAGGAGGAGGAGTAGGAGGAGGAGGTGGCGGGTGAGCAGGCGGATGCGCGGGAGGGAGAGGCTGAGGACGAAAAGCAGCAGCAGGAACTAAGCGGAAGGATTGGGAGGAAAAGGCAAGGGACGGCGGAGGAGGGGAAATGAGGGGGGCGACGATGACGAAGAAGAAAGACTCGGAGACGGGAGAGCCCGCACTTGGGCGAGACGAACAGCAGCAGCAGCAGGAAAAGGAGTTGAAGGAGCGGGCGGGAACAGGAGGACCAGGGGAAGGCGGATGATGGGAAAGGAAGGGGGAGGCGCTGCAATGAGGTTAGACTCGGTTCCAGAAAAATGGGCCCGCGCCGAGGCGAGAGCGCAGGAGGGGAGTGAGAGAAGGGAGGGAGGGAAGGGGATATGGGGGAGGGGAGGGGGAAGGGAGATGCCTGGGGGATAGGGGGAGGGGAGGGGAGGGAAGGGGTAGAAGGGGGATAGGGGAGGGGAGGGGGAAGGGAGATGAAGGGGGGGGAGGCCTGGGGAGGGGGCCCAAGAGGCTCAGGGGCCGAGACGGCGAGGTCGACGTGACGCCACGCCCCCAAACAGGGGGGACACTTCCGTGGCAACACGTGGGAAACTCTCGTACCGTCTGGCTCGCTCTTGCGAATCGACGCTGGTCGGCGCTAAGCGACGCTAAGCCGACGCCAATCGACACGACTCGACGCTAGACGACGAAGAGCCAGCGCCATCTCACCGGCTACCAGGCGACAATCAACGTGATCCAGAGAACTGAGAATTGACAGAGGCTGGGCCAACTTCCCAGAAATTTATCGAGACAAGCCAGGGCCATCCACTGTTGTTCACGCTGAGAGAGAGGCGAACGCGCCCAAGAAACTGGGGCAGCATTCCGCAGGTCGGCTGAGAAACGCTGGCCCAGCTTTTGGGAAGGAGGTGCCTTAACCAGATGCTCGACTGCACAAGTTGCGGCAGCTTCGCGTCGTGACGACCTCGGCCTTGGCTCCTGGCACCGCGAAGATTCTTCGCACCTGAACGATCGGCCAGCTCCGAAGCGTCAGATCGTTCAGCATCGACCGACTCCGCGTCGCCCGCGGCCGTCAACGCGGAACGCCAGCGTCGAGTCGCCGCCGGTCGGCACGACACGAATATCTTGTAGATGCACGGGAGCTTCCTGATGCTACTCGCTCCACTCATGCGTCGATGCTGTGTCGAGCGTCCGTCGACTTGAGTCGAACCTCGGCCGGACTTGAGTCGAACTTGAGTCGGACTTGGGTCGAAATGGAGTCGAACTCGGGTCGAAGAAGCGTCGAACATGTCTGTTAGGCGGGCACCCGGGAGGCCCCCCCAACGAACACCTACGACGAGGGTTTGTTGCTTCTCTCCTCGGGCCCAGGGGCTGGCCGGCAAGTTTAACTCGAGAGGCCGCCGCACGCGCACGACGGCCGGGAGGGACCACGGGGAAGCCAAAAACCAAAAGCCTCGGCCGCCAGAAACCGGGGTCTGGAAGCCAGGGGAGCACCAACTGAGGCCTGGCCACGGGTACCACCGCAGGCCTTGTCAGAGCGAGAAACATCCAGGATCAGGTCGGGCATATCCTCCTACAGGTGGGTGTTGGATGTGCTTTTTCACATATATGTATGTATCGTAGTTTCTCTCTCTCTCTCTCTCTCACTCTCTTTCAAAAAAAAAAAGACTCGTCCACAGTTCATGTTTGGAATATGTTTGAATATTCCTCCTGTAGAGGGACATGCTCGACTGAATTCCAGGGTCTGAAGCCCCGTGGGCCCATTCCTCCACGAACGGCCCCACCGCAGCACAAGACGCTGCCGAACGGCGAGGACGCGCTCGGCACCAGACGGCCCTGCGCCAGGGCACACCCCGAGCCAGCCCCACGCCTGCACTGACGCATTGGCAGCCTCACCCGGCACGGCTGCCCTGCGCCAGCGCGCGCGCCGCGGCAGAGGCGGGCGGCGGCGAGGACGGCGACGACGAGGGCGGATGAGGGGCTCCCAGGGTGCCCCTGGCCCAGAAGGCGCTCCCAGCCTGTCTCTCCATCTCGGGGCCTCGGGGGCCCCCGGGGGCCCTGCGGAAGGGGGGGGGACTTCTGGGGGCCGCGGTGAGGCCTCCTTGGACATCCCGGGGGCCACCTCGGGCCAGGGTCAGGTCGGGGACGTCCTCCTACCGGCGGATGCTGGAAGAAAACCCAAACGTCGCCAAACAGCAGTTCAAACAACAATGAAAACATCATCGGAACATCGCCCCCAGGATATGTTTTACCATCCTCGAGAATTTCGCCTGTGGAGTGACATGCCCGACTTCAGGCCAGGGGCAACCCTATAGCAACACCCGAACGGAGGGACCACCAACACCGCCGCGGCTCCCGCCCCGGGCAGCAGCGCACGACCCACCCGCCCCTCCAAATCCGCCTCCTCGTCCTCCTCTTCCTCCTCCTCCGCCTCCGCCTCCTCCTCCTCCTCCTGAACCCTCCTCCTCCTCAATCCTCTTCCTCCTCCTCCTCCTCCTCCTCCTTCTCCACCTCGTGCCTCCTTCTCCTCCTTCTCCTCCTCCTCCTCATCCTCCTCCTCTTCGGTCGGGCATGTCCTCCCACAGCGGGATGTTCGACGGCAAATGAAACATCGTCGGAAACCACACTCTTCAAGCATGCTCCAAAGATAATCGAAACTTCGTCACCAGGCTATGCTCTGACGATCTTCGAGCTGGGGGGAAGGGCGGGGGCGCGCTAGGCCGCGGCGCCCGGCGCCCGCCACGCGGTGGTCCGCCCCGCCGGCGTCTCGCTCGCCGGGGTCCGCACGCAGCGGGCACTTCTGGAGGGGCGGGGCGGGCGCTCTCCCCTTCGTCGACTCTCCTCGCCCCATTTCCTTCGCGTCTGCCTCCTCGTCCTTCCCTCTCCTCCCTTTTCTCTCCTCCTCCCTTTTTTTCTCGTTCTCCTTTCCCTTCGGGGGGGCCGCCCGGTGTCCGCGCGCAGCGGGGCCTTCTGGCGGGGCGGGGCGGGGCGGGGCGGGCACATCTGGAGGGCGGGGCGGAGACCGTGGCGTCTCCATGTTTGTCGAGCTGGGCGTTGTCGCTCCTCTTCGGGCCCCCCGGCCCTCGCAGGTCGAGCGGGCTCGGAAAAGGCAGACAGATGGGGCCTGGGCTCAGGTCGGGCATGTCCCCCTACAGGCGGAACCTGGGCGGAAAAGTCAACATACTTGTAAACATACACCAGATATAGTCAAAACATCATCCACAAATCTTTCCGATGCTATTTTTTAAACCATTTTTGAATATTCCCCCTGTAGAGGGACAGGCCCGACTGAGGTCTGGGGCTCCGGGCGTGATCTTGTGACGATGGTGCATGCTTTTTTCGCTATGTCAGATCTCAGGGTAACTCTTTTCCTATCTCTCTCCATCTCTCTCCCTCCCTGGGGAGCCGCGGCGTTCTCGCCCTCTCTCCTGGGTGTGCGCGGCTCTCTCCCTCTCGCCCTCCTGGGGCGTCCGCGGCTCTCTCTCTTTCTCTCTCTCTCTCTCTCTCGGTGTCCGCGGCAGTGGGGAGGGGGGCAGGGCGGCAGCAGATGCTGCGGGCGAGGAGGAAGACGAGGGGACCAGCGCAGAGAGGGAGGAGGGCGGAAGACGAGGAGAAGGAGGAGGAGGAGGAGGAGGACACGGCAGACAAGGAAGACGAGAAGGAGAGCGAGGAGGAGGAGGAGGAGGAGGGGCCCTGGTGGGAAGGCGAAGGGGGCGAGAGAGAGAGAGAGGAGAAGCAGGATCGACTTTTTCAGGTGGCCGGCTCAGGAAACCCTCTCGCTGGGGCCGAGGCGGGGGGGGAAAGAAGAGGAAGACGTGGATACTTAAGAGGATCAACTCGGACGAGGGTGCATCGGGAACCTGGCGGGCACGCTGGATGCATCGGGCACTGCGGCCGTCCCAGAACGTTCGGCAGCGACTTGCCCGCCCGCCGGCTGAGGTGGGCAGGAACATGAGGCAGGAATGCGCTGTGAAGCAGATGTGGCTTCCGCCCCCCCTCAGGAGGGGGGGAGAGGGAGAACCGCTCTCAACGATGGAAGCAGGAAGGCGCCCAAAAAGTAGACTGGGACCTGGGAGTCCAGAAATGCCCCCTAAGACCGACCACTACGATGTCCAACACGAAATGGCGCTTGCAACGAGCAACGAAACACAACACGAGGCCCGACGTTTACAGCGAACGCTGAAAACGAAGCAAGGGCCAAACGAACAGGAACGACGAAGCGGGGCGCTCCACACGGCAGCACACAACGGAACGAAACGGCAGCGAAGCACGGGACGAGACACAACACAGGGGCCCAAACCGAGCTAAACAGCGCTGTGGTGGGCCATTGGCCGCCCATGGCCGCGCTCCCGGCTCCCCGCGGATCGACTCGAGGCAGGAATGCTTCGGGAGGAGCCCCCGGAGAATGGTCCTCCTCCTCCTCCTCTTCCTCCTCCTCCTCCTCCTCCTCCTCCTCGTGCTCCTCCTCTTCCTCCTCCTCGTGCTCCTCCTCCTCCTCCTCCTCCTCCTCCTCCTCCTCCTCGTCCTGCTCCTCCTCCTCCTCCTCCTCCTCCTCCTCCTCCTCCTCCTCGTCCTCCTCCTCCTCCTCCTTGCCTCCTTTTTACCGATGCCCTCCTCTGCCTCCTCGCCTTTGCGCTCGTCCTGCTGCTCTACCCCTTGTCTCACCTGTTCCCTCGTGCGCCCCCCCCTCCCCCAAGTGCGGGTGAGGGGCAGGAAAGGCGTGCATGGCCTCCTCTGCCCTCCTCTGCCTGTAGTGCTGCCTGTAGGTCTGCCTATAGGTCGGTGTTGTCCCTCCTCTGCCTCCTCCACCTCCTCTTCATGAGTTCGGCTACACGCAGGAGTGACCCTGGGTAAGAGTGACCTTTGGTGCGCGGCTTTCGGGGGGCCGCGGGGGGACCAATATCAGGCTCGCAAGGCGCTGCTATCGAATCGCAATCGGTGATCGGGGACCCCATTGTGCCCGCACCAACAGTCACTCTGGAGAAGAGTCACTCTTACGTGTAGTCGATGAATGCCCTCCTCTACCTCCTCTCCTTTGTGCTCGCCCTGCTGCTCGACCCTTTGTCTCACCTTGTCCCTCATGCGCCCACCCCTCCCCCAAGTGCGGGGGAAGGGCAGGAAGGGCGTGCATGGCCTCGGGAGTACCCTTCAACCGCCATGAGTGAGTGGGTGAGTGCGTGGGAGGCGCGGCCCGATCTTCGAGTACAGTAGGAGCTCGACCACCAGAAGCCTTCCACAAGAACAGGAGAACAGACAATGACATTAACATAGAAACTCGGAGGTGCGCGCGGATTCCTCGGATCCGCGCTGGGGCCCCCCTGGCGGCGCCTCCGGCGCCGCCCCTGGCGCGCCTCGCGGGCCCGAGCGGGAGGCCAGCGCCGATGTGAGAAACCCGCGCGGACCTCAGAGTTGTTATGTTTATGTCATTTCTCGTCCCCTAAAGATGCCCAACCTTTCGGTGGCAACTCATGGGAGCCGCCGATACCATGTTGTCAACACTTACGCATATCGACGCCAGTCGACGCTAGATCGACGCTGATCGACGCCGACCGAACCGACGCTGATTGACGCTATCCGACGCCATATCGACGATATCTTATCGACTCCCAGACGCTAATCGACGCTAGTCGAGGGTACTTCAGGCTCCCGTGATTTGCTACCGAACAACCCTGAGTCCCCAGGACGTCCATTGATCTGTAGTGTGGGAAAGCCGCGCTTTCCGCAGCAGAGCCATCGAAACCCAAGAAACCCAGGGCACACTGGAGGAGGCAAGCAGGGTGTCTCTTGGCATGGGTTTCCACTGTAGGAGATCGGCTACAGAATTGAGTTACCCCCGAGAATTGGTTTCTCTGTCGCACCCACGCAAACGACGAAGGATAATCGTATATCTACGAGCATTCTGCGCCTTCGTGGACTCGACGGAAAGATCAATATTGGGGCTGCTCCAATATGCAGTCGATCGCCTACGCCCCTGCTGAGAATCAAACGTATTGTTTAGGCTAAGACGACGGCCTTCACGCCAAGCGTTTCTTCACCAGCAGTCAAGGACCAAGTATACGAAAGCCCAACGATGTGGGGGAAAAACGCCCAGGGCCCAGTCCAGATTCTTGGTTTTCTTAAACAAAATCCGGAGTCGATGAACGTTGATGCTTGTCTTCCGAGTTATAATGGTCTTCTTCGGGTTCGGAAAACTCGAATTCTAGATACTCGACTTCACTCGAAGCGTTTTCCAACGCAGTACTCCAGCAACAACACGGAGCTCCGCCGAAACGCTCAGGGCCCAGCCCAGATTCTTGCTTTCCCTGCACGAAATCTGGAGCCCAGGACACACAAATAAATACACACCAACCAACAAAAAGATGTCCCATTGTTTCACATATTTTCTGGGTTTTTGTCTTCCCCCACACTTCCCATATTTTCGCATATTTTCTGGGGATCGCCGAGTAATTGTGTCTGTGCGCTTTTCCCCCTCCTGAAACTGGAACCTCTTCCAGAGAAGCCTGCTGGGTGCAGTAGCTCGTTCTCTCCGCACCACTCCCGGCTTCAGCGGCGCCGCTGTGGCGATCGGCGGCGAGCCCTGGGGGGGGGAGAGTGCGAAGGGGCGGGCCTCCTCGGAAGGCTCGGAGGCCCCCAGGCCTTCGAGCAAACACAGAGGATGCCGTTGACCTACGGAACCCAAAATTAGGAACGAGGCCCCCTTTTCCCATAAGTTGAACTTCGATCTCGTTTCGAAAACCTAGGGAAAATCCAGGGCAAGCTGCGAAACACTTAAGGAACACGGAGCCCCTCCCCAACGAAAAGGGTTCCTTCTTCAGGGCCCCGACTGTGCAGAGGATGCCGATCAAGAACCACAGCTTCCGACAGGCCTCCTAGAAGCCCCAGAGAGGGCCACGAGACGGCACCATGCATGGAGCTGCAACGCCGAAGCCCTATATATATGTGTATATATATGTATACATATCTATATATATATATAAATATACATATATATATATATGTACACATGCCGCCACGCTGGCGGCCCCGGCCTTCTGTGAGGTTTCCTACGACGACCCCGAAGGCACAGATAACCTCTCAGACGGCCGGAGCGCTTCTGAGAAGCCCCGCCGCCCTCTGAGAAGGCCTTCTCCTTCTCAAGATCCCCCCCCTCGCTCGCCGCCGAGTGTAGCTGGCTCTCTCCGCACCCTCAGGCTCCTGAGGCCGCGCCAATGTATCGAGGAATGCGTCAGGCGGCGGTGACGGAACCGGCTGCGCGCAGCGCATCCATCAGCACCGCCCTTCCCTATCGACTCCCCTTTCCCCCGCAGCCGACCCCCAGAGACGGCCTGTCCCGAGCCTCGCGGAGAATCGCTCGGGAAGGGCTGGCCCGACCCATGCCCCTGCGTCCGCACCGCTCGCTCCCCCCCCCTCGGAGGGGCAGGAAAAGAGGAGGGATGAGGGATGAGGGGGGAGGGAAAGAGAGTAACGGAGAGGAAGAGGAGCATCAGCGCAGGAGGAGGAGGAGGAGGAGGAGGACAACGCCCTGGAAAGGAGGAAGCGAGAGATAGAGAGAGACGGAGAGGAGAGAACGAGAGAGAGAGAGAGAAACAAAACAAAAACACATCAAAACAAACCAAACCAACAAAAAAACACGAGGGGACCACGCCAGGGGGAACTTCTGGCCGCGGCGCTGGCGGGCGCACCGCGCGATCGGAGCATTACGCGCGCTGGCACTGCGGGGCGACGTGTGCTCTCAGAGGGTGGGGGCGGCGGGGGGCAGCGGCAGGGCCGGCCGCGGCCGGGGGAGGGGGAGAAGGGCGGCGCACTGGTCAGGAGGAGCAGCAGAGCAGCAGGAGAAAGGACGTGCCATAGGGGATGGACAGAGCCCCTGGGTGCGCCAGGAGCGAACGAGGCCCCAGAGACCAGCTCAAGACGGCCCAAGATGCACCCAAAGAGGGCGCCACGACGGCGCAGGGGAGTCCCAAGACGGCCCACGAGTGCCCCTAGACGGCCCAAGAGAAGCCCAAGATCGCACAAGAGGGCCCCAATGCGGAACACAACCCCCTTCAGCAAAACGTGGTCTGGTGAAAACGACCTCGGGCCCAAACCTGGCGGGCGCAAGCCTGGAAAATGACGGCCGCGGTGCCCTCTCGAGAATCGATGACGGACAATCCACTAATCGACGTGTCAGGGAGGGGGTTCTGTCCACCGCGGATGCCCACCGTCGTGGGCCTTGGGGAAACTTCAGGGCCGTTCTGCTACCAATGCCGTTCTGCCGCTTTTTGTTGCCGGGCTGGCTCCGACGCTGTTTCTGTTGCTGGTGCCGTCGCCGTCTTTGTCCCGGAGCCGTTTTTGGTGCTGTTTCCGGTCGCTGTGTTTTGCCGCTTTGACTAAGTGACAAGCTCGAAGAGGGGATCGACTGCAGAATCGATTCGCCCCAGATTCGGATTGTTCGCTGAAACTCTGGACCAGATGCGCAGAACTTCCGTATCGTAGATCTGCCGAGCATTCTGCGCATTTTCTTGTAGAACCGACGAACCAATCAAGTTCGGGGTATCAGTTCGTAGGCGACTCCCTAATCGAACAAACGGGCCGCCATTTCCCCACAGACCCCCAAGCAAGGCCCCCAGGACGCCGAGGACACCCGAGGGGGCCTTCCAGGCCAACAGGCGTCCGCCTCCTCCTCCTCCTCCTCCTCCTCGTTCTACCTCTCCTCCTCCTCGTTCTCCTCCCCCTCCTCCTCCTCCTCCTCCTCCTCCTCCTCCTCCTCCTCCTCCTCTGCACGTGCTCGGGAGACAGGCCAGGGGGTCTAAACTGCGAGGCCGGAGTTCATCCAAATCCACCGCCTGGGAACCGACGTCCTGGTGCTCCAGCGGGCGGTGGATATGGATATATTTTGGCCCCCGAGGGGCCGAATATATATATATATATATATATATATATATATATACATATCCATATCCACTACCTGTGAAGTCCGCGAGGATCGATCCCCCAGGCGGTGGACATGGGTAAATCCCCGCATCGGATAAACTGGATACAGTCGGGCCACTGAAACAATCTTTGCGTCAGCGGCCAGGCAGGGGGTGACTGCGCCAGCGCTGGAGGGGCTGAAGCGGGGATGCCGTCAGAGCGAAGTGTGCCATCGTGCAGGAGGAGAAGGGAGGAAGGACGCGGCCGAAGGAAAACAGGGGCGGTCGGGCCACTGAAACAAGGAACGGTGAACAAGGAGCGAAGCCCCTTCTCGGCACCAGACGGGCCTGCGTGCACGAGGATGGCTAGAGGAACAGCCAGGTAGGGACCTACGCAACCTCGAGCCCCTTCCGAATCCAAACTGTGTCGTACTTCAGCGACTGAACTGTAGGCCCCGCCAAAATCTGTCAAGAGGGGGGGTATAAGGGCACAGCTGCGCAAAATTGGTCCCCTGACCACTCCTGGGGACCACGCGGTGCAGTTTTTCCATCCCGGATCCGTTCTGGACGGTCCGGGGCCCGAAAACGGCCCCTGGAAAAATAGGCCCGGACCAAGCACTTCGAACCTCGCCCCCCCCTTCCCGCTCGCTGGAACCAACGCTGTGCCACATCGGACCCCCCGCCGGCTCGAGGATGTGTTTGTTCTTCGACATCCTCCACCCTCCCCCGCCCCTGCCCTCCTCCGTGTCCGAGGTGACGCACTGGGTGAACTGCCCATTCCTGAGACCCCAGGATGTACACTGCTTCCTGGCGTGGGACAGTCACGCCTGCCACAGCAAAACCATCGAAACCCCGGAAACCCAGGGCACCTTGGAGGCAAGCAGGATGTGTCTTGGCATGGTCCCCCACTGTACGCACCCACTTCAACATCCTCCATCCCCACCCACCCAATGAGTGACAGCAGTAGGCGGGGACTGGCTTGGGGAGAATGCATCGACATGGAATCGGCGATACATCGCCGATAGACCGGCGATAGGCCCCTGGTGGTGAATCCGCACCTTTCCTGTGCAGGTTGGGGCTATCGGGCCCTTATCGGCGATCAATGGGCGATTGGGAGTCGATGCATCCCCCCCTCTGCCCATCGAGCCCCATCGTTGCCCTCACCCACCCCAGCCCTCCTTCGTGTCCGAGGTGACGCACCAGGTGAACTGCCGCCCGCGCGAGGCGCACTTCGACGACGGCGCGCACGTGCAGCCTGCACGCCGGCGCGCGGCGGCCGCGCCACCGCCGCGGACGACAACCACAGAGGCAGCGACGAGGAAAAAAACGAGGACGACGAGGACGCCGAGGACGAGGACGAGAAGGAGAAGGTGGAGGAGGAGGACAAGGACGACGACGACGACGACGACGACGACGACGACGACGACGACGACGACGACGACGACGACGACGACGACGACGGCGGCGGCGGCGGCGGCGGCGGCGGGGACGACGACTACGACGACGACACCGCCGCCGCCACCGCCGCCACCAGCGTCGTCGTCGTGGCCGCGGTCCTCAGCGTCGCCGGGGAGGGTGAGGAGGATGAGGAGAATGAGGAGGATGAGGGAGGAGGAGGAGGGGGAGGTGAGAGAGAGGACGGCGGCGGAAGTCCGCCGAGCGGCTGCAGAGAGGGAAGGGGGAGGAGCCAGGAGACTGGGGAGTATCCGGGTCGTTCTGCGTCTCTGCCACCTGTTCGGACCGCCAGAGGCCCTCGGAGGCCTCCTGACGCCTGCAGGCTTCGAATAGGGACCGTTGCAGGCCTCCAGGCTTGGATGGAAGGCGATCGGTCCTGAGGAAGGTGCAGTGTCGGGAAATCGGGTCGAATCGGAATGTGCACCGGATCGGGCGGCATCAGTACGGAGTCGAAATCGAATAAGATCGGCCTTGCCAAGATGCACAACAGCTTCCCGATAGGGTCCGCCAGCCCGCCTCGTCCTAACCCTAGCCCGCCTCGTCCGCCACACTGCCGACTAATGGTCCTACCCATGGCCAGGTTAGAAACCGTGCTGAGACGGCACACTGGTTGCAGATCATATGCATGAGTGCATCTACTACAGTACGCCAACGTCAGATTCAGCATGATGGCGAAGAGGGGAAAAGTGCAATCATCGTCGCCGGCGCCATGGGCAGGCGTGGTGTAGAAATCTGCGCACTCGTGCCCCGCACTGCCAAGAGGCCAGCGTGGTGACGACCCAGGAGCGCAACGGCAGCTCGGGGCAGAGGAGGGAGCGACACCCGGGGACCAGTACGATCCTGGAGCTGGGAGAGGTAATTAGGATAGCGAGCGACAGGGGAGGAGGAGGGGAGCGAACGACGTCGCCCGAGAGGAGGGGAGGAGGGCGAAAACCCGGGCGACAGCCCGAGGGGCGAGCAGGAGAAAGAGCAGGCAGAGGAGCGACGCAGGACGGCGGAAGATGGGACGACGACGACGACACCGACCGGAGGAAGGTCGGCGGGAGAGCCGGGGCACAGGGCTCCACCTTCTGATGTGACGCCTGCCCGAAGCACCCATGCGACCCGATCCGTCCGTAGGACTCCGCCCGTCCACCCGGTCCGACCGCCCCTTGGCGGCGCGCAGAAGGGGGTGGAGGGAGGGGGGGAGGGCTTCTTGGAAGGAGGCTGCCTCTTAGAGGGCGGCGGCCCTGTGCCTACAGATAAGGCCCGCGCCTTCTAAGAAGCCGCGGTACCTCCAAGAAGCCCTCCCCCCTCCCCAGCACCCCCCTCTGCGCGTGGCTGAGTCCCGTCACGTCGCCTGGGGCAGCACGCTCTCGGGCCCCACCCGCCCGACCCGACCCGCCAGCGTGGCTCCGCCCAACCGCCCGCCCACCGAAGCCGACCCGCCCGCTGGGGCGGCCCGCCCGCCTGAGCCGCCCGCTGGGATCCGAGCTGGCCGGACGGGCCGAGTGCCCATGTGAGCATCTGTCAACAGAAAGCCAGGGGCGCCTCTCCTGGGCGAGATGACTCTCCTCCTCCTCCTCCTCCTCCTCCTCTCCTCCTCCTCCTCCTCCTCCTCCTCCTCCTCCTCCTGCCTCCTCCTCCTCCTCCCCCTCCTCCTCCTCCCCTCCTCTCCTGCTCCCCTCCTCCTCCTCCTGCTGCCCTCCTCCTCCTCCTCCTCCTCCTCCTCCTCCTCCTCCTCCTCCTCCTGCATCCACTCCTCTTCTTCTCTCCTCCCCTCCTCCTCCTCCTCCTCCTCTCTCCTCATCCTGCTCCTCAACCTCCTCTCCTCCTCCTCCTCCTTCTCTGGGCCTTTCCTGGGACTGCCAGGAGCACGGCTGAGAACGTGTCCTTCCTTGCGCCGTGGAGTCCACGCGCAGGGCGGGATGGCGTGCCGCCGGCTGGCTTCCAGGGAGAGGGCGGGGGCGCCGGGGGGGCCACGCAGTCCCCCTGCTTCGCGATCCGTCGTCCGGGACCCCACCCATGTTCCTCCTCCGCCTCCTCCTCCTCCTCCTCCTCCTCCTCCTCCTCCCCCTCCTCCCCTTCCCGTTCCTCCTCCTCCAAGGGGGGGGGGCACCCTCCCCCGCTCCCCCTCCCCTCGGCACGCCCCCGCCTTCCCCGCCCCCCCCCTTACCCCAAAAGGGGGGAGAGGGGGTGCACCCTTGCCACCCCGTTTGCTCAGGAGCCCTATCCCTGGACCCCCTGCCATCCAACCCTGGACACTCGAACATCACCAGAATTACTGGCCCTTACCCTGACACCCTACCACAATAACCCTAACATCCTAACCCTAGCATCCCCGACCCAACCCTACCACCCGGACCCTCACCACCAATCCTGACCCTGACATCCCAACCGTGCCCCAAACACCCTAATCCTACCCAAAACTCTAACACCTGAACCCGACCACCCTTACCCTAACACCAGAACCCGAATCATGTCACCATAATCCTCTCAGGCCCTAGCCCTCAAACCCTAACACTAAGTGGCTACCCCTAACCCCACCACTCTAACCTCACCACCCTCACCATAGCATGATGATCCTAAAACCTGACCCTGCCACCTCAACCTGATCACCCTAAGCCTCAATGACGCTGTTGCTCGAGAAAGCGATAGCATGATGGTAAAGGCGTGTTCTCGAACTGTCGCTTTGAAGGCCCATCAGTCGCATGCCGCACATGGAACATGTGCGTGCGCGCTCCTGAGGGTCATGGTGATCAACAGTGTTGCGACGGGAATGCAGACGAGGAGGATCTCCCCCTCCCACGCACCCACCACTTCGCCCCAGCGACGCGCGTACGCCCGTGTACTCCAGATGTCGTGATAAAAGGGAGGGGGTTTCTGGACCCTCCAAGACAAGCCATTTCAGACCTCCCCCGTGGGAGAACCCTCCGAAGCATCGTCCCCAGACCCCCCAGGCCCTCCAAGATAGCCTGGAAGAGACCCCCCCCCGAAATGACGAAATCTGGAGTACAATGGGCGGCACGACCACGCGCACGACTCGGACGCGCACGCGCTCCCAGCGCCCACGCCACGCGCCGAATGTGCGCGATCTGCGGCGAGGCGCGTGCCGCCATCCGGCGGCCAGAGCTGGCCGAGACGAAAGGACACACCGACCCGTTGTTGCATTCAAAAACCCAGCTCTGGAATTCAAAAACCCGCTTGTGAATCCTCCTCCTCCTCCTCCTCCTCCTCCTCCTCCTCCTCCTCCTCCTTGCACGCTTAGATTCAAAAACCAATTTCTCTTGAATTCGCAAACCAGACCCCGTTTTTGGAACAACAGCCCGAGGAGAGGCCACGACTCGCGGCGCCACTCTCTCGAAGGGCTGGTCGGTCGAGACTCCTGGGCGCGAGGGGCGCAGCAGTCGCTGGGCACGGGCACGGGGGCGACCCGGGAAGGAAAGCGAAGCAGGAGGGCGCGGATCGACGCCCAGAGCCCAAGCTGAGGGCCCACGCGCAACCGCACAAGACATCCCGCACAAGACCTCGCGCAAGGCCTCCACGACCACCCTTCGGGGATGGACAGACCCCCCTTTAGTAAAACGTTGTTTAGTGAAAACGACCTGAGGCCCAAACCTGGCGGGCGCAAGCCTGGAAAATAACGGCCGCGGCGCCATCTCGAGAACCGAAAACGGACAATTCACTAATCGACGTGTGACTGTTGGGGTTTCTGTCCACCCCCGAACCCTTCCTGTTAAAGAAGGTAGAGTGGTGATGACAGCGTCGGTGGCGACGATGCCGAAGATGGGCGGGTGCGATGCTGACGGTCATGGACTTTCTAGGCGACCGCACATTCCAAGAACCTCAGCGCCACGGGCCCCTGCAGCCTGGCAGCCGTCAGGCCCACTAGCTCCGGGGCACGAGTGCGGAGCTACCCTCGGGGGAGTGGGCTTCGCTGTCGCTGTTAGAAGGAGAAAGAAAGGCATAGACATCAACTTTCGAAGGTCCGCGCGGATTTCTGGGATAAGCACTGGAGGCGCCGCAAGGGGGGCCCAGCGCAGATCTGAGAAATCTGCGCGGGGATCCGAGAGTTCATGTTTGCTTAGCTGTTCTCTCCTTCGAGCTGTGGATCATCCTCCACAGGCCCTCACGCAGGTTGGCGTGGCGCTCCTCCGAGAACCACCAGATGACCAGCAGGCTTCCCAGCAGTGACAGGCCGCAACAGACCTCGCAGACGTACGAGGCCACCTTCACCGCCAGCTTCCAACCACTGGCAGTGTCAACCAGGATGATCTCGGAGACTTCCAAAATCACAATCTTGTTATCGATCATCACGGTCCGGTTCACCTGAGCAGTCGTCCACTTGTCGCGGCGCCCGCTAACGATGCCTGGGTCTAATATCATCAGACCCTGGAAGCACAAGAACAACACATAAAAACCAACTATTGCCGTCGCGACCCATTTCCGCATTTTCCGCTCAGTGCCCCGGATGGTTGATGCGGCCACCTTGGGCATTTTTAAGAAGCCACCCCAGCCCAGGGTGTACGCTTCCACTAGCCAGTACCCGCCAAAAAGCATCACAGCACCAAGCAAGTGCACCCAGATGCAGACCCAGTCTATCATAGTGGCTTGAGGCGCGGGTGTTGCTGTGACAGTTGCGACGATCATCATGCCAGTGGAGGGCACAACCTGTCGAAACATCATCCAAGACAGGTTTGTGAAAGGAATGACCGGGTCATCTCCAATGTAGACATTGCGAAGGTGCCAAGGATACCACGATTGGAAGATAAAGACTGCTGCGATAAATTCGAACGCAAAGAAACACTTGCCAGCAGGGGC